TTGATCTGCATTTTGTCTTTTTCACTCAGTGTTTCCTTTTTGAGGTTTATATGTGTGACTTCTGGTTCCTTTTAACCGCTGCATGGTATTCCATTTTTATACTAAATTTTTTTTAAGTTCGTTCTTCCAGTCTTTGCCTTGTTTTTATACGTTGTTCATGGCATCTCTTGGTGCATAGATTTTATGTTCAAAAGTTGGAGTCGTTTTTTTCCCCATTTTAGTTTGGACTTCTATATTTTAAGAAGGTCTCCCCTACCCCAACTTCATAAGTATATTTACTCCTATATGTTTTAAACTTTATTTTTAGTTTTAGCTCTTCAATCTGCAAAGAATTTAATTTCGTATAGTGGTGTGAGATGGAAAAATTACAATCTTACCTGAGTAACTACTTGTCTCAGCAGCACTGGTTCAATAGTCCTTTCCCCATTAATTTGTAATAATTAGGTCTGCTGATTTATTAGTCTCCTGTCTGTATTTTCATAATATCCAAGCACAGGAAAGTGAAATGAAATATTGAGCAAAATACCTGGTTAATGCAAGATTTAAACTTGATGCTGCATTTGAATTGTGTATGTGTGTGTTTTTTACCCCTGTGATGTCAACCCACACCTGTATGTGTAACTCCAACCCACACTTCTTTGAAAATGGAAATTTTTTGTACTGATTACAGCTTGCCAATACTTATGTTAATGAATTCTGAGCATTTAATCTTAAACAACAATTAGTATAAGAAGGATCCTAATAATAGCATTGACTCCTCTACTTGGGGCTTATGAATGGGTTTAGCCAGTGTTTCTCATAGAGACCCAAACCTAAATCAGTGTTTCTCTTAGAGACCCAAACCTAAATCACAAACAAACCAAAGCCCAGTCTACGGACAACAAATTCATATAGTAGCATATGGTATTGCATTGGTGTCTTGAGTATCTAAAGGTCTGACACCCAGAGTAAATATAACGAGATCATTATGTTTATGTCTGTGGTTAAATATATTCATGGGTTAGACAGCCGTACCGTAGGCCCTGCTATATGCATGAAGTTTTGCTGAAGTGTGTAGCTTTTAAAACAAGAGGAATAAGCTTGCCCCATAGTCAAGACATTTAAATAGAAAAACCTGAAGGAAAAAGCATTACCTATGAAGGTTTAAATTCATTCAGATGGGGAGACATACTGTCCAGACAACGTGAGCTGCTCATTGGCTTGTGTCCTGCAGGGGAAGGATGACTGCTAATGGGGACAGTGGGCCAGTGCTGGATCCAGGGGTTTAGAGAGCTAGTGTTTTGCACTTGGTGGCTTGTGTACACAAGTGATGTGATGCACCTGGCTGCACGTATGTTTGGTGCTGTCTTGGATCCCACTTGGGGGCCAGGTGACCCTATTGGCTTCACAGTCTGAAGCAGACAGCATCGTGTGGACCAGACGGGGAACACACAGACAGCCACATTCATGCACACATGACTAGGGAAAAGAGGCGTGGGTGTTGTCCAGGTGCTGTGTGTCTCAGTGGTTTTCAAAGGTCAGTGTGCAAAAAACTCCCCAAGGATTCTTGGGTCACACGTCTAGTTTCTGATCCAGTAGGTCTCGGGGGCTGGGAGTCTGCGTGCTTGGTAAGCACCTCGGCGGTTCTGATGCACGAGCTCTGGGGACCACACTGTCAGTGCAGCCTGGTTGTTCTCCATCCTCTGTTATGATTTAGGTTCTATTCAAGGGGAGCTGGTATCATTTGAACTTAATATTTCCTTTAAATCGACTTGCTTGCTTTGTCCAGATACATTTAATTAGAAAGGAAACTATATTACTCCTGTAAAAGTAAAATCAGTATCACTTACTATAAATAGAAAGTACACAATGAATATACATATCTTAATGTATGTATCTAAGGGTGTGTGTATGTCTGTGTGTATACTTAATATATGTAGTTTTAGAGACACACATATACATAATCATAAGTAGTGATTTTTCCTTCAGGTTTTTCCATTTAAATGTTAATTTTGAGGCAAGTTTGTGTGTGTGTGTGTGTGTATAGTATAAATACATATTAATGTAAGTATATATTTCATCCAGTTAACATTATCTTTTTTTTAAATTGAAGTATAGTTGATTTACAATGTTGTGTTTGTTGCTGGTGTGCAGCATAATGATTTAGTTATACGTATATATTCTTTTTCATATTCTTTATCATTATAGGTTATTACAAGATACTGAATATAGTTCCTTGTGCTAAACTTTAGGACCTTCTTGTTTATCTTTTATATATTTAGTAGTAAGAACCTGCAAACCCCAAACTCCTAATTTATCCCTCCCCTGCTCTTTACCCCTTGGTAACCATAAGTGTGTTTTCCATGTCTCTGAGTCTGTTTCTGTTCTGTAAATAAGTTCATTTGTGCCATTTTTTAGATTCACATGTAAGTGATATCATATGATATGTCTTTCTCTGTCTGACTTACTTCACTTAGTGTGATAATCTCTAGGTCCATCCATGTTGCTGAAATGGCATTATTTCATTTTCTATGGCCAAGTAATATTCCATTGTGTACATGACAACTTCTTTATCCAGCCTTCTGTTGATACACATTTAGGTTGCTTCCATGTCTTTCCTATTGTAAATAGTGCTGCTGTAAACATTGGGGTGCATGTATCTTTTCAATTAGGGTTTCCTCTGGATGTATGCTCCACTTAACCTTATCTTTTGCTTTGCAATTTGGCAAACACTAAGTAAAGAAAAACGGTTATAAAGGAGAGAGAAGTGTTTGTCTCAAGACTTTGGAAATTAGGATGAGGATGTGCTAGCCTTTCACTGAGGAGCATTTATAATTTTAGAAATAGCACATCGGAGTGTGGCTGATATGCTTTTAGCTGACAATGCTAGCTCTCTGCCTTGTGGAGGGAGGGCACCTAAACAGGAGAGAAAGCTCGAGAGCTAGCCAAGAAACAGAAGGGAGGACGTATGTCTTTCAAGAGCTGAAGAACCGTCCGTGCAGAGGAGAGCCTCAGCCCTTCAGTTTGGGTAGGGAACTTTCAAGGAAGGGAAGAGAAAGGCAGGGATGGAATTGTTTATAATTGTGAGGACCTACTATGTGCCAGGCATTGGGCAGGGTGCTCGGCATGTGTCCCTGGTTTAATGTTCATGAAGACTCTGTGACATGGACACATCATTGTTTACCCTGCTGTGGAGTTGAGGAAATGAGGCATGGGACATTTAAGCCGCTGGTCCAGGGTTCTGTAGCCACCCCAGGTCCCCATTACCAGGGCAGAGAGGGCAGAGTGCTAAGAATCTTATTTCCATTCAGACTTTAGAAAAGAAATGGATTAACTACCAAATTTTAAGTTTCTAACGTTTAATTTAATTTGGCATTTTTTGTTTTGCTATATAATCCTGAACACATATCCTCTTGTGCGCCTCATGGTAATAAGCACAGAAACAGTTTTAACCTCCTGTATCTTCCAATTAAGACATCTCGGTTTGTAAAACTTTTTCTTACCAGGGTCTTTGTAGGTTCAGCTTTGAGTGTGTAACCTTGAGTTATACTGTGAGCCTGAAGAGAGGAAGAAGAAACGAGCCCCCCCACCCCGCCTGTCTTTGCTCATGAATTACCTTGTGGAAGGAATGGTCGCTGACACGACCTATGCGTTGGCACAGAGACCTACCTGAGTCTAGCGTTTACAGGGAGCCACAGGTCCCTCAGAGGCCTGGGCATGTGGAAAGGCTGTGCTCCGGTGAGTGAGCCGTTACAGAAGAGCTCATGCATCAGGCTGACAGAAGCTTCCATAGAACCTTTAGAGAGATTTTTATCAGAAATGTACACTCGGGATTATGCTAGGATATGATGATGATCATGACCTTAGTCTCCTGCGTTTGGAGTCCTTAAAGGAAAGCATTCCAGGCCACTAGTTCCTAGAGGTAGTGATGAGCTCCATCTACCTGTAGCCGTTTTCCGTGCAGTCTGCATGACAGTTCACAGCAAGCTCTGCTATAAGGCAAATATCAAAACAGCTCTGCCTTCTTTAGATTTCTGAGGGTCTGCTATTGAATAAAATGATGCCCATAGAAGCGCCAAGGAAAGATGGGTTTTTCCCTGAAGACTTTTTTCTCATTTGACAAGAATGATGAAACTGATTCCGTATCATTTTTACTTTGGAAACTTGAAAACTCAGAGCCAATTCTGGCCTCAGGGTCTATGCATTGCTGTTTTTTCCTTCTCTAGCTTGGGCTGTCTACGCTAACCCATCTTCTCCTTGGGCCTAAATTAACTATTTTCTTACATTTGCAGTGCAACTTGGTGGCATATAACAGCAATTAAATATATAAATGAGTAAATATAATGATTTGACCCGAACTGGACATAAAAACACCAGAAATTGACACATTATAGCTGATTGTACTTCAATAAAACAAAAAACCCAAAGAACCCCCCCAAACCCCACGTATTTTAAAATTAAATTTAATCTATTAAAACAATACATTTTAATATATTAAAATAGGGGTTAAAATTTAATATATAAAAAATAAGTTAATTTTTAGTGTTAGAAACAGTGTTGAGTAGAATGAAAGAATTTCTTCTTCTCATGCTTTTGGTAGCTTTAAAGTTTACACTTTTTTCCTTTCTTATGAGCCATCACAAATGTATTTCTCAAGGCTGCTCTCACATTGCCTGTCTTGCAGAACTCCAGACAGAGTTGGGAGTTTGTCGTCAGCTTTGCGCTGGACACACACACCCTGCTGAGTTTTTTTTTTAAGCTATTGCACATCAAATAGTTTAAAATACATATTCCCACACCATTTAAAAGTATTCATCAAAGAATTAGTAATTCTTAGGTGAACAACCTGCAAACATACAGTTAGAATACTTTTAGTGTCTTACTTTGGTTAGGAATGGGTTTCTTATGTTTTAAACTCAAGATTGTAAATGGTTTCAATTGTTTATTTTTAACAGAGATTTCATGTTTACATTTCAGTTTAGAAACAAAGTTTTTTTTTTTTTTTTTTTTTCTCTTTTCAGACAGAACTGAACTCCACATCTCCATTCCCGAGCAAGGAGCTGGCTGAAGCCACACAAACTCTGCTGGATAGTCTCAGTAGTCTGGCCCAGGAGGTAAGTCGTGTCTTCTCAGCCCCTGGAGGCAGACCCTCCACTATCATTGTTTTCCACCCTGAGTTTGGCTCAGAGGGTCCTTTTGATTTGAGTATCATAGGAAATGTAAAATCAACTTTAGAAGCATTTGTGATCTTAAAAATTGCCTGGTTTGATCTCTTTACTTTAGAGATGAAAAAACTGAGACTCACAGATGTCCCAGGGCTAATCAGATAGTGGCTGAAGGCGCCGTATCTAGCCGAGAACTGTCTCCCATAGTTGCTCACAGCCCCTTGTTAATGACTCGTTTGTAAAGAGGGCTATCCCTCTTCGTACCCCGGGTGCTGTGTTTGTCTTAGCAGCAGCTTCTCCTTATTTCTTCTTCAGTAGCAAAGCCAGACAGTCTTTTTACCAAAACATTTGTTTGCTAACTGAAGGGAATAACGTGGTACCCATAATTCAGATCTTCCCCTTGTAAACATCTGGCCTCTGAGTTCAACTTTGGGAATGTAGTCTCTTAATGAAAACTGTAAATTGAGTTGGCCTTTCATGTCCACATGTTGACAAGTGTATCAGAATCATCTTTGTCATAGGATCAGAGAGCCTAACTTGCAGAGAACAGCCTTTCCTTCGCCTCCCAGTCAGCATATGCTCACCTTTCTGGCACCCAGCCTTGTTTCATATTAGGCTTGGAAAGGAGGGGCCATCCAGAGCCCAATGTGCAGGGAGCTGAGCTGGGGGGCGGTGGTCAGATATCATGCAGACCTTCATGTTTTGAATGCTAGATAGGAATAATTTGTGGGCCGATTTTCTCAGACGTGGTCTAGCCTTATTTTGAGTTGCTTCTCTAACTCATTTTTTGGTGTTTGTATCATTTTTTTCAAATATCAAAACTCATTTTGATTTTTAAGATTAAAGTGCGGCCTGTTCACTATGGAAAATGCAGAATGTTTGGAAAATACGGAAAACACCAAGATTAAACACTGTCAACGTGTTAGGGTACTGCTGTCAGTTCTGTTCTGTGTTCTTTTAAAATTCTGCCCCTGTGGGTCCGACTGAAGAACCCTGGCTTTTGGGTCCGTTTCCAGAGGAGAAGGCCTCTTGCCGGTGGCCATCTGTTACTTGGGTTATGAACGCTGGTGACCTTTCTGTAGGTGGAGAAGCTGAATCTCCTGGGGTTCTTTCAGGAGGTAGAAAGAAGAACAGAAACTGCACTGCAAGTCTCTCGCCATTACTCTAGGGTCCTGCTCACTGACCTTACGTGTCCTGTGCCACTCTGGGAGGTCCCCTGCCAGCCTCAGAGAAAGCAGGGCAGGGACTCTTAACGCAGGACACTGCCTCTAAACTCAGGGTCCAGTTGCAACTGTTTCCTCTTACATCGCTGGCCTACCTTTTGTCTGGGGTCAAAAATAATTGGAAGCATGTGATGCTCCCATTGCTCACGTGGTGGAAATGCTCCAGCTGAGCCACATACATTTTTCTGGGCAGCCATGTGCTTGTGTCTCGCTTGACCCCTGGTCCTGGGCGACAGGGGCCACCCACTCCTCTCAGCAGAATGGCTTCAAGTCACTTTCGCCATTAGTGACTCATTGTCTCACTTGCCATTTCTCTTGGACAAATGGGAAAAGTTAAATAAATAAATGCACTTGTTTATCTGTTCAGTATTTGGAAAGAAAGTGGGTTGTTTTGACCAAAGCACAACCCTTGAAAGGAAAAGGGAACTATGCTCCTTTGGTTCATGTCTGTTCACCCAGTGTCCACATGATAAATGTGATGCCCACACTGCAGATGACCCGGGGGCTCAGAAAAGCTGGACAGCTTGCCCATGGTCACCTAGTTAGTTAATTGGCAAAACTGGGATTTTAACCCAGGGCTGTTGGATTCCAAAGCCCGTGTTCTTACTGCATTAGCCCACTTTTTGTCTGGTGAACTCTAATGGCAACTAGAATAGAAGAGAAAGGAGATTCTTCAGAGAAAGACAATATGAATTAACAGGGCCTGGCAATGGGTGGAAATGGGGACTTTCGGAGCCAGATGAGTCAGAGTGGACGTGAGCTTCACCCTAGGTGGTGGGGGGCTGTGCCTGTGGAGACTAGGGGGCAGGACAGGGAGCAGCATCTCGGTTACAGCTGCAGCACCCACTGGGTGGTGGCACAGCTGGATGCTGGGGACTCGGCAGCGAGCCCGCTAACTTCCCTGTTCTTGTGGGGCTTACGTGGGGCGGGAGGCAGAAATAAGCAAGTCAGTGTGTAATGTGACAGCAGGGGTACCAGCAACGAAGAAAAAACTGGGTGAAAGGGATAGAGGGCGATGAGGTGTTGTTTTAAAGGAGGGTGATTCGAGAAGTCCTCTCTGATCAGAGGACAACTGAACCTGAAGGCAATGACAGCAGGTCCTCCACTCCAGGGGGGTGAACCACAGATCAAAAGACACTGACGTAGGGCACCATCAGGGAGCACACTTAAAGACCAGGAAGGAGGCCAGCGTGGCCAGAAGAGAGCAGGCGAGATGGTGGTGGGACATGGGGTCGGAGCAGGAGGTGAGCGCCCTGCAGGCCTGGTAGGGCTGGATTTACACCAGTGAGATGGGAGGCCAGCAGAAGGCCTGAAGTGGGGGGCGTACGGCATGACCTCGCGGATGAGACCATGCATGGCCCAGTGCTGGGGGCGGGGGCAGAGGAGACCATCGCAGCGGATTGACAAAGGGAGCCGGCCTTTCATTCACTCCAAAATGATTATCAAGCACCTCCTTCTGTGGGCTGGGGGACTAGTGGCCCCCTTCCCTGCGAGTGGGAGCCCTTCACAGAGGAGGTGTGGAGTAGGTGTTCATCCCTGAGACCGGTGCTAGGAGAGCCACAGTTTGGCATAATTCAGTCATTTGTGGTGCCTCTGTCCAAAGATGCGCTGGCTTCATGTGGAAGGAAATTTCCTGTTTGGGTTGGGAGATAACAGGGTGGTGGTAGTGAGGAAACCTGTGGTAAGAGAAGTGAGTGGCTTTTACTATCATTAATAATCCCCAGGGCTGTTCCACCCGCCACCAAAAGGAAAGATGGCTGGCTACCTTTCCCATTCTTGTCTGCTCCCACATACAGGTGATGAAAAGACAATATCAGGAAAAGCTGACCCCCTCACTGTGCTCTTGTGGTGTCAGTTGCCCCCTCTGTGGAAGGGGAAGTCTTTGTGCCATCTCACTGCCCTGGGGTGCCTGGTTCCCCTCTGGAGGCAGGAATCAAAGGCAGGATATACGGTGCCCGGGACCTTGGCACTCACAGGAGCCGCCGGCCCTGAGAGAGAAATCCAGGCACATGGAATGCCAAGCTAGGCTGCCCCCGGGGCAAGTGCAGTGTCCTCCAGTCCCTATCCCCAGTCTGTTCCCCACGCCTCAAGCTACCAGGAGGTGAGAACACCCAGTGACATTTCAAGGAATGTAGGGATTTATTAATGATTCATTGTGAAATGCATGGAAATACAAAGTGCTCTATAAATATTTAATTATAAAAAGCCATTGGGCCAAGAAGTCCACAAGATGCTGGAGAGCATTTGTCTGTGAGACAAAGCGCTTGTCACTTGTGGGTTGGAGACGCAGCCCCTGGCTGCCGGGGTCTGACTCATCTGGGCAGGGGCTGCTGTGAGTGGGGCCCTCTCTCGGGTGTCCTAGAGTGTATGATTCTCTCCTCACCAATGTAGTTTCCTTGTCCTGATGAGAAGAGGGGCCCTCAGAGAAGTGACTTTTCTAAGGCTGTGAGCTGCTGAGAGATGTAGCTGGGGTTCAAACTTGGTCCCCTACCCTATGCTTCTTCCATTCCCTGACACTTGGCTGAATCGAGGTTGGGACTTCACTCCCAGCCAAGGGGCAGAGGGCTGCCAAGGGGCAGAGGGCTCCTCAGTTTCCACACTGAAGTTTGAAGTGCTTTAGAAATGAGTCAGTGACCGAGGATTTGAGCCATTCTTGATGGACACCTGTGAAGACAGCTGTTCAGAGAAAGCGTTCTTCTCTATAAACTCGATGATAATCCAAGTGAAATAAAGCCCATCACCAGGGGCTCTAAGGTCTAAAAGTTTTTAATATGTGTCGGAGTCACCTGGGCACCCTGCAGAGTACAGATCTGAACTGTAGACAGGTAGATAGCCCGGGATCTGCATCTGCAGCAACCTCTCCACTGACGCTGAAGTCCTGGTCCCCAGACCACAGCGGAGTAGCAGGGCTCTGGCAGTCTTACCCCAAGACTTCCAGGAAGTGGCACCAGACAAGATATGTTCTGGGATGTGGCTTTGGAAAGGTCAAGAAAATAGTGTTTCATTCTCTTCTCTGTCGTTAACCCTTTCCTCCTCTGTCCTCTCCTTTTCCACCTGACCCCTACCCAAGCTGTTCAGCATGAGGAGCTGGAGTGATATGCGGCAGGAGGTGATGTTTCTGACTAACGTGAACAGCTCCAGCTCGTCCACCCAGATCTACCAGGCCGTGTCCCGCATTGTCTGTGGCCACCCTGAGGGTGGGGGCCTGAAGATCAAGTCCCTGAACTGGTATGAGGACAACAACTATAAAGCCCTCTTTGGAGGCAATGGCACGGAGGAAGATGCTGGCACCTTCTATGACAATTCCACAAGTGAGTGTCTGTGCAGACCCACGCCCTGGTCCCAGAGAGCCCTGCGTCGCCCGCTCCCTTGTGTTTACCCTCATCCTCTGTAGCAGCAGTGGATGTGTACGTGTCTGTTTGCACATCAGACTGAGCTCCTACAGGAGGGGCTGTTTTCCTAATCGGCCAGCTGTCCCCACTTCTGTGAATGGGACCTGGCATGTGTGCACAGTGTGTTTGTCAAGTGAATGGACGATTGAAAGCCAGTCTCCTCAGTTTTCTGGGGGATGGAGGAGGGTGGGTTCCCGGAGTGAGCAAGGATCGTCTCTCTCTTGAGTGCCCCCTCATTGAAGTAGGCTTTATAATAAAAACTTAAATAACAAAAACAACAACAACAATAAAAGCTAACATTTAAGGAACATTTCTTATGTACTATACATTTTATTTATCTCATTTAACCCTACAATAAGGAATGTTTTGTAACCCTACATTTTATAGGCTCAGAGAAGTTCAGCGACTTTGTCAAAGCCACACTGTAACTAATCTTCAAGAGCCAAGATTAAATCAGATCTACCCGGCTCCGTGCTTTTTCCCGCTGAACCACAGAGCCTCCAAAGTACCTGTTCATGGTGGTGTGTGTGCCGTCAGACTCGGGCATTTGATCTGCTGTTTGTTTTTGGTTCTTAGCTGCTAGTCGGTGTTAAAGAGCCTTGTAACTCCATAGCTGCTCCCCACGCTCAGGCAGTTTTGTGGGGATGTGTGTCCTGTGCCTGGTGGCAGCAGGGAGCTGGTGTTACAGTTTTAGACAATGGCATCTTTTTCCTTGAAAACATGATGCGAGTGAGCCTTTCTCCATTTCCAGCCGCAGGTGTGTCTTTCAGACACTGAGTGAGGCAGCTTTTTGTGTGTTACTGTAACATAAGAACCTTTTATTCTTCTCTGGAGTAAAGCCCTCCAGACATTGCTGGTTGCTGTGCAAGCCTGAGGGATATGGCATTGTGGACAGTTTTGTGAAATGCAATCCCCTCCACTCCCTTGGCAAGTCAATCCAAGAGAACCCTTATTTTTGCAACAGATGTAATTGGGAGAAAATCTTCTTTAAAAAATATATGTGTGTATGTTATCTTTGCAGCATGTAGAGGATACTTGGTATCTAAAAACTCAGAATGAATTTTTTCTTTAATTTAGGAATCCTTCTAGATAATCAAACCCTATTGTCTATTATAACTTGGGATTTTTCAGTTTGGGATTTTTATTACATTTATTACTTATACTTGTGATGAGACCTACAGATTTTTTATTTCTGCTTGAAAAAAGCAGAATCCAGCCCTCTCTTTCCAATGAAAACAAACTGGTGAGGGCTGGTGTAAGCCATCTAGAGTCATGAACCTAGAGTTATGTAGCCTTGTGCATAGTAAAAACATTTTTCTAAATGGTCTCAGTTGTGAGTTGTCCATCATAAGTGTTCTAATAAGCTCTGATTATTTATCAGGCATTGTTCTAGGGGCTCTACAGATAACATCTCAGTTAATCTCTCCACATCTCTGCCAAGTAGAGGCCATTAACTTTGTTTTTACAGAGCAGCTAACTGAAACTCAGACAAGTGATTTGTTACTTAGCTATTAAGTAGTAGAGCTGGGATTTGAACCCATGACTGGCCCTCTGGCTCCAAAGCTCTGGTTAGTTCCTACAAGTATATGACCATGCATGGAGATAACTGCCTTTCATTCTCTTCATAGCTCCTTATTGCAATGATTTGATGAAGAATTTGGAGTCCAGTCCTCTTTCCCGCATCATATGGAAAGCTCTCAAGCCTCTGCTTGTTGGGAAGATCCTGTATACACCTGACACTCCAGCCACAAGGCAGGTTATGGCTGAGGTAAGCCTCCTGGACCCAAGAATCCTTCTACAGACTCCTCCTAGAATTATAGACAAAAAGTAAAGGCAGCTTCAGATGGAGTGTACTGAGTATACTTACAGCTCCCCTGGGATTTCCAAGAGTGAGAGCCTCCAGCCTGACCCAGACCCGAGCTGACGGTTGAGGGCCAGCTCCCCAGCCTTAGGTATTTGACTTGCCGCTGCAGGCAGGCACTTCTCAGGGAGGGGAAGGACTACGAAAAAGCTGCTGTGATGGAGCATCCTTCTAGGGAGCAACTGAGTTCCTCATATCTTTGCCTCTCTTCCCTTTTTTTTATGCTGCCCCTGGCTCCTGGCTTGACTTCAGGTGAATAAGACCTTCCAGGAACTGGCTGTGTTTCATGACCTGGAAGGCATGTGGGAAGAGCTCAGCCCTAAGATCTGGACCTTCATGGAGAGCAGCCCAGAACTGGACCTTGTCCGGGTGAGTGTCCCTCTGATTACCATGTGCCTGTTTGGTGCTAAAGGTGAGTGTCTCACCACTTTCCCACAAGTGACAGAGATGAGAATTCTTTACATTTAAGCAGCACAGACGTATTGAGCATTGTTACCTTTGCAGAGCTACAGGTGATGGTGCACAGACTATATACCACTGATCAGCATCGATGTGTCTGGTGGTCAAAAATTAGGTTTCTAAGAAACTTGCAGCTGGTATTTGGAACAAGAGTTTGGTGATTGCAGGACCCTGATTATTTTTATTTCTGGCTCTAGAGCCAACCACAGCATCTTACTTAGCCCTACGATGTCCTTGTAGGTCTCAGACAGGTGTGGGAACAAAGGCCTGGTCTGACCTGCAGACCTGTCTGAGATACTCGCTCCCCAAGACACTGTGTGAACACGGAGCCACTGTCACTGCATGGAGGGGAATTGCACTTAGTGCTTCAGAGCTACTTGAAAAGGGATAAGTGCTCTAGAGACAATTGGATTCAAAAGCAGAGGAGTCTGATCAAGAACAGAATGTCTCTCTTGCTTGAGCCTGAGTACCATTTAATCACATCATCCCTGCCTTGGGCTGAGTCAGAGAATCATTAGACTATTTCCTGTCTCCATGGTGAGCAAGGCCTCTTCCTTTTGTTCCTGCTGCTATTAAAAAGCCCGAATGGATTTTGCCAGGTCTCTTGGCTTGACACCTCATTGATCAGAGGGGCAGCTGGGTATTAAGAGGCAGTATGTAGCCTGAGAGGTACTTTCCCCAGGCTAAAGTCTGTCCCCTGAGGCCCTGGGAGGAATGATACCCGGGGGACCTTCTGATGCTGGGAAAGCTGGAGTCATCTTTGTTACACTAGTTTTGCTATATGTGCAGAATTTTTAAGTTGAGGACCTTTGAAAACCAAGGGACTTTAGTCAGAAGAATACAAACAATAATTTGTATGGATTTACTGAATGATTCCTAACTACTAGTAATAATGATAATAACTTACGCCCTTTAGGGATGGGTCTCTGTGGGGCTCCAGCATCTCCTTCAAAAGGGGTTCATGGGGTCCAGCCACCAATAGTGCCATAGACCCAGATGTGGTCTCAGACCTCTTCTTCCTGGTCCTCGCCTTGGAATCTACATTTCTACTTGCTGAACTTGTCTTTTTCGGAGCCTCAGGGAATGATGAGGGACCCCTTTGAAGGGACTCCGTGAGTTTTTGTCTGTAGGCAGACAGATACTTCCCCTACTCTTTAATGGAGAGTTTGGCTTGGATGCTCCAGCATCTCTTAAGCTCCCCATTATTTGGGGTCGAGGTTCTTGTAAACATAGCTGTGGCACTCACTAGGAATCCTGCTGGGAGAACCCAGGATGTGTGGTAGGAGGTGTAGGAGCTGTGGCTGGGGAGGAACGCATGGCATGTGGTTTAGAAGTCTTTGGGTGTCAAGCCAGGGACCTTTACTTTAAGTTCTGGGGGACCATGAAAGGATTTTAAGCAAGGGGAGCTATAGATATATTCCTTTGATAAGACAAGTAGATTGAAGAGGGGAAAGGCGAAAGGCAGAGACTAGGTGGAGGCTATCCAAGTAGGTGGTGAAGGTATCAGCAGGAGACAAAGCATGGTAACTGCTTGATTGAGGAGGCATGAAAGAGAGGGGAGCATCAGGTTGAATCTTGATTTCTAGCTGTGGACGGCAGGGATGTCCAACAGGCTAGTGGGTACTGGGGCCTGGAGTGCAGGAGGTGGTTAGGCTGGAGACACCAGTTGGAGACTCATCAGCCTGTGGGTGGGAAGTTGAAGGAGCCTTCCCCAGCTGCTTGCTTTTCTCTATTAAGGAGTGTTTAACTCCAAAGCTTGGGCTTCTCAGTCCTCTGCACCCATTACAGCCTCGCCTCTGGTACATGTGAGGATGCCAGAGGCTTCTGCTTCTGTTAGGGTAGCTCTTCTCTTTCTTTCTTTTTTTCAGCTTTATTCAGGCATAATTGACAAATTAAAAGTGTATGTAGCTATCTTGATAGTGGTGGTAGTTTCATTGGTGTATACATCTATCAAAATTCATCAAACTGTACATCTGAAATATGTGCAGTTTACAGGAATCACACCATAATAAAGGTGTTAAAAATTAAAAAATAAACAAAGTGTATGTATTTAAGGTATGCAACTTAGTGTTCAGATATATGTATATACCTGGGAAATGATCACCACAATCAAGCTAAGTGTCAAGCGTGCAGTGCAGAATCCTTAACTATAGTCACCACGCTGCATGTTAGATCCCCAGAACTGTTTACACTGCATGTCTGAAACTCGGTACCCTTTGACCTCCCCGTTTCCCCCAGCCCCTGGGAACCACCGTTCTGCTCTGTGGTAGCTCTTATCTTTCCTCTGTCTCTGGCTCTGTCTACACCTGCTGCCATCACCCCACGGATCCAGAGGCACTTCTCTGTTGAGTCACAGCACTCAAACTGTTCTCCTTTCTTACCTGCTGTCGGTCTCCTTCATCTTGAGGCCCTGCTGTCTCCCTGGCCCTGCCCCTTGAGGGTGATCCAGGGTCCCCCGGTCCCCTCCCTCACCCTAGAGCAGCCTCCGGGTCAGTGATCTCACTGGGCGCATCTTTCTGGCCTGGCTGCGCTCTGTGGCCATGTTGCCCAAAGCCACACTGGGCAGGGCAGGTCTCACCCCAAATGCCATGTGTCTTCATTCAGGTCTTACTTGCTCAGTTCAAGTCCCCAAATAAACTCGTTTCAGAATCACTAACCCATACTCCTGTGAACTTTTGTGGGGTACACTTTTGTATCTATTTTGTTAACAAAAATACACATCTTAACTGATGACAGTGTAAATTGTTACTCCCTGCAGGAAAGCAATTTGAAATAAAAATTGTAAGAACCATAAAAAATGAGCTATCTGTGTACCTTCATTCCATACACCCTCAGGGATGTATCCCATACAGAAATAATTTTGAAGAAAGAAGTCACTGTATGAGGGAAAATGTTATTGCTTTGGTACCTGTTATTATAAGAAATTAGAAATAGACTAAATGCTTAGCAGTACAGGAATAGTTAAAGAAATTCTAGTATATGTTCTTTATAAAAAACCATTATGCTGCCTTTAAAATAATAAATATGAAGCTACATGGGGGGAAAACTTAAAATCTTAGTAGAAATAAGACTGTTTTAAAATATAGCTCAGGTTGGTCCCTTAGAGAGTCCATTTCAGTAGAGCCAGAGTTTCGTGCACCTTCCCGAAGGTGTGGCAGGAGTTGCAGCTGATCTCCTTTTCCATGAGCTGGGGTTGGAGCAGACTCATTTTTCTGGCGGCACAGCTGTGCAGGCCCTTGCCCCGGTCCTCTGCACCTACTGGCCAAGCACCAGGGGCGTTTGTTCTTCTCTTCCATGTTGACCCACATGGAGAGCCAACCAGCTGGGGAAGAAGACATGGAAAACAAACCTCCTTTACAAGCATGACTCATGAGCCCTACAATTGGGACAGATCATATTTTACCTGGTTAAACAGCAGAATTCTTTTCCCAAATGAAATAGCAGAAGTAGGTTTGTCTTAATTCTGTCTAGAGAAGAGAGTCTTCATGAGGAGTCATCAGCCTGGGCCTTAAAAGAGAAGGCAATAATAATGCAGTGGGGAGGTATGGTAGATTCAGAGCCCATGTCTCGTTTGCTGGCTTTGTTACTTACTAGCTGTGTGACCTTGTGTTGGGGATTTGACCCCTCTGTTTTTCCATCTGTGAGATGGAAACTGTTAAAGATACCTTTCTTATGGAGTTGTATGAGCTAAAGCAATTAAATAAGCCAGTATAGTAATGATGCAGAGTATAAGAATTATCGTTATTACTGTAGGGAATACTGTTCACTGTGAAGCTAGGCTACAAACATGTGGACTCTGGATTCAGACTGTTCTGATATTTAATCTCAACTCCATGCCTGTCAATATTATGCCTCATCCTTGGTTAAAACCATATTCTTTTTTTTTTCAACCTCAGTATTCTCACCTGTAAAATGAGAACATGGTTACCTACCTGACAGTTTCCTATGAAGAGTAAAAAAAAAAAAGACAATGTACGTGAAAGGGTTTTGTAAATCATATAGTGCTTGTCAAGACTTAGTTGGTGTTGACTATTGGTACATTTCTCATTGGAATGGCAGACGCTGCTGGACAGTAGAGGCAATGACCACTTTTGGGAACAGCGACTGGAAGGCTTAGATTGGACAGCCAAAGATATCGTGGCGTTTCTGGCCAAGCACCCAGAGGATGTCCAGTCCACGAATGGCTCTGTGTACACCTGGAGAGAAGCCTTCAACGAGACCAACCAGGCAATCCAGACCATCTCTCGCTTCATGGAGGTGAGGATCAGTTCTGTGGACCATTTACAAAAGGCTTTGGCTTCTTTGTCTCAGCTGGTGCAGTAGGGTTCGGATTGGAGTAAAGCTTAAAAATAACACATAGTCTTAGTTACAGTAGTATTCCTCAAACCTAACATAGGGTGTGGTATACAAAAAGGCACTCAATAAATGTTAGTTGAATGACTGCATGAGTAAATAAACAGACCTAATTTCTTGCTTTATTCTATCTGACTCAGGAATGTCTCTATCCATTGTCTTCTAGGTTTTTCTGTGTTTTGATATCCCAGTACCTAAGGGCAACAAAACATTCCCTTTAAAAAAATCACTACTTAGGAACTTATCTAAAATCTAATAGAACTGATTACATTTTTAAAAATTAATCCTAAATATGATGTGACTTAATAGGGACAAATGAAAGGCTTTTTTTTTCTTTTGATCTGTTTGTTTCATTGTTATGACTCAAAATTGCCAAGAAAACTGAGAAAAGAGGGTTTGATCATTGTTTCAACCTCTTTCCTGTCACAAAAATCAATATAAGTAACTTACCTCTAAGTACTTCCAACATTTTTCTTAATTGCAGTTAAAAACCCAAGTGAACCATTTTCGGTTGAATACTGGAAAATGACTTTAGAGAGGATTAGAGAGTGAGGATAAAAGTCGTGCACTTAGTGCCTCCCTCTTAGCACAGACTCTGCTTGGACCTCTGCCTGTTTTCCTGGCCATCACCGTCTCACGACGGCTCTTCTTCCTTCAGTGCGTGAACCTGAACAAGCTAGAACCAGTAGCCACCGAGGTTCGGCTCATCAACAAGTCCATGGAGCTGCTGGACGAGAGGAAGTTCTGGGCTGGGATTGTGTTCACTGGGATTCCTCCCGGCAGTGTGGAGCTGCCCCATCACGTCAAGTACAAGATCCGAATGGACATCGACAACGTGGAGAGGACAAACAAGATCAAGGATGGGTAAGTCGAAGCCCGTCGTGCCGACCAGCCTCGGGGAAGTCAGGAACAGCTAACGTGACTGGAGGTGCTTTATCTTAACCAGCAATTTGGTAGAAATTTCTCACACAGGATAGCTCAGATCGGCGGCATGATTTGGGTGTAATTGGCACATTCGTTGCTGGACACGACAGTTTCAGAGATCATAAAATACCATCCTGTGGTTCAGCATTTCCATTCAAGGGAATTAGTCCTAAGGAATTAAATCAACAGGAGAAAAAGAAGAAAGGAAAAGATATTAGGTTCCCTGGGCTAGTGTTATCCATTTTTCTAAAAAGGAGCGGGGGTGGGGGTGGGTATAGCTCAGTGGTAGAGTGCATGCTTAGCACGCATGAGGTCCTTGGTTCAATCCCCATTACCTCCATTACAAAAATAATAAATAAACCTAATTACAGCCCCCCCCCAATTTTAAAAAATAAAAAATTAAATAAAATGGGGTAAACAACCAATATAAAAGGGCATGGTTAAGTAAATTTTGGCATGTCCTCTTGATGCAATGTTAGGTAGCCAGTGGAGGGGAATAAAACCAAATCAGCAGGTGATTTGCTCATTCCAATTATATCTATTTAAAAACGGGTGTACATGTCAATGGAGACCGGAGAATAAGACACAGAAATAAGAATGGTGGATCTGTAATGGTGGTAGGATTGTGGGTGACTGAAATTTTTTATTGTGCGAGTCTAAGGAGTGTTTGATCACCTGTGGTTTGGTTCTAGGTACTGGGACCCTGGTCCTCGGGCTGACCCCTTTGAGGACATGCGGTACGTCTGGGGGGGCTTCGCCTACTTGCAGGATGTCGTGGAGCAGGCGATCATCAGCGTACTGACGGGCGCAGAGAAGAAAACCGGCATCTACATGCAGCAGATGCCCTACCCCTGTTATGTCGATGACATGTAAGTTGCCAGTAAGCCACCATCTGTATTAACCAGTTAACACTGTCCCCAGGTGGTGCGCATGCATGCACGCACACACACACATACACACACACCCCCCAAGGGAGGAAACAGAATGCTTTGATTATATTCATATGTGTGTTAACTAGTTAAACAGTTGGTTACTGCAAAAAAGTTTGTTTTTGAATTTTATGGAGATTTCAAGAAATAAGATGCCAGCTGTAGGTAGTTGACCATTTCAGCCAAGCCACAGACACATGTGTGTTCACACACCGGGAATCTCACTCCTTTCTCGTCCATGGTTACCAGAACTTTTATTTTTTATAATCTATCCCTTTGGTCAAAATCGGCTCACACTGCAGGTTTAAAGTGTGTGGTGATGAGCACATGCCAAATGCACGCACACATCCACGCGTCCCCTACACTCAGAGACATGGTGTCCTAGACCTAGAAAGCTGACTTCACATCCGTTTGTCTGCTTCCTTTCTGTACATGGGAAACTGTGTTTTCAAACAATACAAATATACAACTGATCAAGGCCTTTTTATCTTAGACGTTTTAGATAATCTTTTAGTGCTTTGTCACTGCTGCCGAGTTCTCTTTGTGGGGACTGTGCCTGTGGAGCTAATGACTTCTTGTGAGAGAGAACTGGCCGAGGTGCAGTTATTGCCGGCATCTGAAATGTATAACATCTCTCACAAGTTCCTGAAACTCTCTTATTCTCTGGGGGGTGTGTGTGTGTGTGTGTTTAGAGATCCCAGTGCAGAAGGAGCGGCGTTCCTCCCTTTGTATTTCTCCCCACTTCGCATTGAACAACCTATTTCCTCGCAGGGCTCACTCTAGCTTTTCCAGGTCACCTGGATTTATCTTCTTTTTCACCTTCAGAAAGATTAGCCAATATTTTCCAAAGAAAGACTTTTCCAAAGACCCCCTAAGTGGGGACTTACTTTGGAAAGGATGCGTTAAGATGGAGACGTGATGGAAGGTCAGAAGCAGTCAGAGCCTTTGCCTGTTGTCACTTACTCTGGAAGTGCACAGTGGTCAAGCTGGGGCTTGAACCTTGAGTTGCAGAGTCCAGATCCTGTGTCTCTTTTACACAACTGCATTTCCCATTTTAGTTTGGAATCTGAAATATTACTGACAAGAGCCTCCTGAAGTGTGTTTCTGCACCATCTGTCATAACAGTTATGCAAGGCAGGCTGATAGTGAGATGACCTTGAAGATGTAGAGCTTTCATGAGATAATGAACTGGGCTTTTTGTTTTGGTTTGGTTTGGTTTTAGTGCTTTAAAATCACCCACATTTAGCTTAGTGCCATCTCACAGCCACCTGGTGACTAAGGCAGGCCCCCCAAAGACATTTCATTTGGCAGTACTTTGTTAGTGTGATTTCTGCCCCTGCATTGCCCTGCTCACCGGGTGTGCCCGTCCGACTGCACGGGTCTGCCCATCTCGGGCTCAGTCCTGGTGCTTTCTCGTGCACGCGGGAGCCGGGCTCACATTGACCTTTATCCTGCTGCTGGCCTTCCAGCTTCTTGCGGGTCATGAGCCGGTCAATGCCCCTCTTCATGACGCTGGCCTGGATCTACTCTGTGGCTGTGATCATCAAGGGCATCGTGTACGAGAAGGAGGCGCGGCTGAAGGAGACCATGCGCATCATGGGCCTGGATAACAGCATCCTCTGGTTCAGCTGGTTCATCAGTAGCCTCATCCCTCTGCTCGTGAGCGCCGGCCTGCTGGTGGTCATCCTGAAAGTAAGCTGCCTCCCCAGCTCCTCCCTGCCGAGGAACTCCTGAACAGCCACACACGGGCTACATGAGGAGAAGGAAAGCATGGATTCCCTGGGAGCACTTTCTAGTTGGGGAGAGTGAGGCCCAGAGAAGGGCCAACCCAGCTGGTTAGCAGCTATGCAGGACCAGAACCCAGGGGTCTTGTTTCCCAGGTGAGCAGACACTTAACTACACCAGGCTGTCTGCTTGGCAGTGGTTCATGGCAGCATCTGAGTGCTGCTCATTTTCCTAGATGTTATGGGTGATGATTCTGCTAGAATTTCTAAAAGCAACGATCAGAAAGGTAGATACTGTTACACGTTAAGGTTTTCTGGAAGCAGAGGCTGAGACAGAGTTTGGCATATGGGTATTTATTAGGGACCTATGTCTGCAGGAGGGATGGGGAAGACGCAGAATTGAGCCGAGGGAGGAGTCGACCTTTGATGCATGGCCACGCTCATGGGCACTGTTGCCGGAGTTGTCCCGACATGGAGCTGAAATGTCCGGCCATTTAGGTTACCTTAAGGCCTCCCTCCCTGAAACCCCATTTCCCATGCCTGTCAGTCATTGGAAGAGCATGTCTCAGGGCCAGGTGTTCCCTGCAGCTGTGACAAACCCAGAGTTGTCACCTGAGGCTGTCTGCTGACAGCCAGGCAACAAGTTTTTCCTTCAAGGGGACTTCGTACAGTGCAGCTCTGTGTCCACTCCTTACATTAATAGGTTTATATGCCAATCTTCTTTTCTCAGTCATTTCACTTAAGGATGCATTGTGCAAAAATTAATGTTTTTAAAGGGGGGTTGGTTACAAAACAAAAGGCACTAACATTTAATTTAATACTACTGTTCATTACAAATGAACACTTACTAATTGCCAAGTGCTGTTTTTAGCACATACATGTTCTGTTTTATGATATCCTCACTAAATAACCCATTTAACATACAAGGAAATGAGGCCAAGGAAGGTTAAGGACCTCACTGAGGTCACCTGATTGTATGGCAGAGCAGTTCTTGCTAAAATCACCCCCTTCTCATGCCCTGATATCTGACCGTAAGAGCCAAGCTCTGTGGAGGGGGTGGTGGTCCTGTGGCCGGTGGGTGAGAGTTGCTTTGGGACAGCCATGTGCTGGCAGGTCCTGCTGAAAAAGGATAAACTACTAGAGAGAAGCTTGAAAGGTCCACAGAATTTGGATGATGGTGGGGATCCAGAATCCACGGCAGGTTATCAAGGAGGGTGTTAAGATGGGCTGGCCATTCTCCTTGGCTTTTGGAGGGAAAAGTCACGTGGGCTGCTGTCTCCCACCGTTCTTTCCTGGTGCCAAGAGTCAGAGTCCTTATACAAGGAGAAACCAGGTGGTATTATTTCCTGGAGAAACAGAGGACACAACTGTCTGTTGAGATGAATCTTGGTGAATGTCAGCCCTGGACTGGGTCCTGTTTCTGGCTCTACCGTTACATTGCTGTGTGGTCTCTGGCTCATCATTTCCCTTCTCTAGGCTTCTGTTCACTCTTGAGAAAAGTGAGCAGCCCTCTTCCTCTGTGTTGTCTCTGCGATGAGTAGGAATAAGCCCTGGCTGCTTCCCGCAGATCACTGCTTGTTGAGTCTCTCACTGGGTCTCTTCCTTCCCAGTTAGGAAACCTGCTGCCCTACAGCGACCCCAGCGTGGTGTTTGTCTTCTTGTCCGTGTTCGCCGTGGTGACCATCCTGCAGTGCTTCTTGATCAGCACGCTCTTCTCCAGAGCCAACCTGGCCGCGGCCTGCGGGGGCATCATTTACTTCACGCTGTACCTGCCCTATGTCCTGTGTGTGGCGTGGCAAGACTATGTGGGCTTCACACTCAAGATCTTCGCGGTGAGTAACTCTGGCCCTCCTGCAGCGGCTGCAGTCCCAGCTGTAGTCCCCTAAAGGGACTCTGTAGATGAATATCTTCATATCTTGTGATTGATTGGTTTTGCAAATTCATATTTCACCTCCAAGCTAAGAATAGAAGATCCAATGGACTTGAGCTTCAGTTCTAGGGTCTACTCCTTGAAGGCAGAGATGGTCTCTTATTAAATTGTTTATCTTTAGTCCTCTGAGTGAAAGCTCTTGAGGTCAGAGATGGCTCCTTCTGGACTCTTGTGTCTAGTATGTGGTTTTGCTTTAGTAATACATTCTGAACTTAAAGCCTGAGGAGCAGGTGAACCATCTCCCCACACATTCCTGACTTCAGTACTCCCCGACCCTTGTATGGAGGAGGCGAGGCCTTCAAGGGTATGCCAGCCCTTGAAAGAGTGAGTTTTCCTCTAAGTTTTTCACAGGATGCTCCAGGTGCTTCTGTCTGTCTGTCTGGACCTCTTAGACATGAGCAGCCCCAGGCAGGCTCCCGTGACACTGAGCCATCACTGGCCGAGCAGGGAGTTTGAGGGGACCTTGATGAATGTGTGTATGTGTATAACATCCAGGCTCGCTGAGCCCTTGAGGCACCTTTGGAAGCATAAAATTCTCTAAGTTTTACATTCCATCATATATGCATTTCTGAAATGTGTCTGCATAATGAGCAGGTATAAATAGAATCACTTTATATGCTGCCAGAGAGCCCACACCCCTAAAGGGACTCTGTAGATGAATATTTCCGTATCTTGTAATTGATCCACTTTGCAAATTCATATTTCTCCAGGTGGCATTTACATTATCAGTGACAGGAAAATGAGCGACAAGGAGATTGATGAGTGACTTTTGCCTCTTTCTCACAGAGCCTGCTGTCTCCCGTGGCCTTTGGGTTCGGCTGTGAGTACTTCGCCCTTTTCGAGGAGCAGGGCATTGGGGTGCAGTGGGACAACCTCTTTGAGAGCCCCGTGGAGGAAGATGGCTTCAACCTCACCACCTCAGTCTCCATGATGCTGTTCGACGCCTTCCTCTATGGGGTGATGACGTGGTACATCGAGGCTGTGTTTCCAGGTTCATTGAGCTTCCATGCGGCTTTCATCACCTGCTGGGGACGTGGGATTTCTAGCTGCAGAGCTTTCCTCCCTTTGCGCTGGAATTCTTCAGGGCGTGGGTCATCCTGGGAAGTGGTTAGGGCTTTAGAGCCACAGCAAGCAGACAGTCCAAGGAGAAGCAGCTGATGCTAAAAGTACAACTCTTACTACTGATCTGGTTCTTGTTTCTTGAGCACTGTGTGCCCAGCACTGTGCAAAGTGCTTTTTACATTTTGGTTCATTTCATCCTTGAGACCACTCTGAGGGAGGTACCATTCTAACCCACTTTTGCAAATGAGAGAACTGTAACTCCAAGAAGTTAAGTAACTTGCCTGTGGCTGCAGAGCTGGTAAGTGTCAGTGCTTGGAGATGAACCCAGATGGGTTACACTGGGTCAGCCAGCCCAGGAGATTGCTCCCCGTGGTGACCCAGTTCTTAAATTCTGTATCCCCCAAATTGTCATTGGCAGAGGTTCTGTTTCCTGAGTACAGCTTGTGAATAATAAGATATGTTGGCTCTAAGCCCTTGTCAACGACTTAATCAAATTAATATTCATAAAAATTCATTTTGATCCTTCCCTTAACAAATCACCTTGACCAAGACCTGCCTTGGATACATTTTCATAGAAGGTGAAGTTCTGAGAGTGAGGATTAACCCTTTCTGGTTCACCTTCTGACTTTCCTCTGAGAGTCCATGAAATGTTTATCACCTACTCCTACTTGAACTTCCTGCATTGAATGTGTGATTTTTTATGTACTGATCTGGATTCAGTTCTGTGTCCCTCACTTTACTGGCTGAGTGATCTTGAGCAGGCTGCTTATCCCTCAGGTGCCTCCTCTGTAAAGTGGGGATGATCCCTGCCTCATGGGGTTATTGGAAAGATTCAGAGACGGGCAGGATGTTGGTTGTATGTAGTAGGTCTCAGCAAGTATTAGCCCCCACTTCCCCCACCTCCATCCCCATCGTCTTGTCTCCAAAGGCTGTGTCAGGGAGAGACACTGAGGAAGCTGTGCCTGGCTGGGGTACCTTGGGAATGCTGGGATGTTGCCAAGCTTGGCTCACACCTGTGCTTTGCTTTCAGGCCAGTACGGAATCCCCAGGCCCTGGTATTTCCCTTGTACCAAGTCCTACTGGTTTGGTGAAGAAAGTGATGAAAAGAGTCACCCTGGTTCCAGCCAGAAGGGAGCATCAGAAAGTAGGTGCTGCTGACCTGCTCTCCCCTTCACCGCAGTGCGGCTGCCCCCCCGGCTCTCGGGGGCAGCCAATGGCTCTCGCTTCTTAAAAGACTCTAAAACCACCCTAGGGGCAGAGAAATCACATGAAGTCCCCCTTGTGATATTCCCCCATGCCATTTGTCTCCAGTGCTGTTGACTTACTGGGGAGTCACTGTCGGGGTTCCTTCCCTTTGTTTTCTTGGCTTTGGAAAAGTGGCCCTTGATCTCTTCACCTTCAACTCCCTTGACCCCCTGCACACGTACACACGTACTTTTCATACTACCCTGACAGCTGGCAGGGAGAGGGAAAGACGCCATGGCAATGGAACCGCGACCTCGCTGCCTGCCTTGTCCTGAGGACAGATGGATGACCCTGTGCAGGCTGCACCAACTGGCTGCCACCGAGCTCACTCTGTGCTTCTTCATGTTCTCACCCTTTGTTATCCAGAGCACTCGCTCTCTCCTGGCTCCTGCCTGTGGGTAGAGATGCTCACAGGTCAGCAAAGGCTCTGCCTGCTTGGCTTTTTTGCTCAAGTTCTTGGAGGGGACCTCTTTGTGTTCAGTATGGCTTCCTGAGTAGTTAACGAGTCCCTCTTCTGCTGCTGTCTTCTGTGCCCTTCCCCAAGTCGTCAGTGGAAAGTGTGATGTTCCTGGGCGTGGCTCACCAGAGTCCTTACACCTGGCCCTTGCCCGCTGTTCTAGCGGCTCCTCCTGCCGTTCCTCCTCTTCTTCCCCAGCCTCCTCTCTGCACCTCTCTTCTCTGTCAGTCACCTGGAGCTGCTCACCGCTGCTGGATCATGGCATGTTATTCCACACCCCGAGCCGCGTATGCACTGTTTCCTCTCACAGGAGAACCTTTTCTCCAACTTGCCTGCCTTCTAAATTCCTACTCAGTCTTCAAGATCCAGTTCAGTGCCCTTTTGTGTGATTCAGTTCTGTGAGTCAGTTCTGCTGACTTCCGCTGGGTAGCCCTCCTAGATTTTCACATAGTGAATCCCTCCCTTCTCTGAGATTCCATGGCATTAAAGGAAATAAAAAAAACCCTTATTTTAAAATAATTATAGACTCATAGAAAGTTGCAAAAACTTGTATGGGGTTTGGGGGTTCCCTTGTACCTTTCACCCAGTTTTCCCCTGTGGTGAATCTTGCATAACTATAATACATGAAATTGACTTTGGTACAATTCACAGACTGTTTTCCTGTTTTACCAGTTTTGCATTTGTGTCTGTGTATGTTTATTAGTTCTGTGCAACTTTAACGCACAATTTTAACGTGTAGATTCATGTAATCACTGGCCTGATCAAGATGCAGAACTGTCCCCTAACCACGAACTCCCTCATGCTACCTCTCAATAGCCACAGCCACCTCCCTTCCTCCCCAGCCCTTGACACCTCTCAACCACTGCTCTATTCTCTATTTCTACTATAGTATTACTTCCAAATTTTTAGTATATTATTATTTCCCGGATGTTATATAAATGGAACCATACGATCTTTGAGATTGGCTTTTTTTTTCCCACTCAGCATAATTCCCTTGATCCATCCAAGCTGTGATGTGTACTAACAGTTCCTTCCTTTTCATTGCTGAGCAGTATTCCTTGGCTGTACCACAGTTCCCTGGTATTTTTAGATGTGTTTTCTAAAGAGCTTTTAGGATCCTGTATTTTGATTCCTTGTTAAGTCTTTTTCTGCCAGTAGATTGGGAGTGCTGCTTTATCAGTGTATTTTCATCACCAACCCTAGTGCCTAAAGAGGTCCTAAATAAATGTTTGTTGCCTGCCTGCCTGACAAACCAGAAGGAGCCACAGAGAGAGGACAGTTGTGAAGTACAAGCACAGCTCGTGGCGTCTTTACACTCCTCTCATTGGTGTCTCCTGTGGGCTTATTTCCATCTCCTGTCTTCTCAGTCTGCATGGAGGAGGAACCCACCCATCTGAAGCTGGGCGTGTCCATTCAGAACCTGATGAAGGTTTACCGAGACGGCATGAAGGTGGCTGTTGACGGCCTGGCCCTGAATTTCTATGAGGGCCAGATTACCTCATTCCTGGGCCACAATGGAGCAGGGAAGACCACCACCATGTAAGAAGAGGGGGTAGCTCTCTCAGAATTGGCCCCAGGAAGGTTCTGTAGTACAGTTAGAAATTCATACCTAAGGATGTTGCGTTGGTTCCCTGGGCAAGGGCAGAGCACGTGAGGAGCTGATGAGTGTCAAGTACTCACAGAAGTACTTTCCAAATGCTAGGTCTTGTTAGATACGACATCCTCAGATTAAAATGGCTGGGGGCCTTTGAATGACCTTTCCCCGTCAGTTCTCAGATTTCTGCAGAGATTTTGGAAACTGAGGCTGTGACCACTCTGGAAAAGTGTATTCTTTGTAGCTGGTTTGGTCAAAACCACTGTGAGGCAAGAAATGTGGGAAGAAAGATTAGATACATTGGAGGGAGGTACTAGTTTCCGGAAACTCTATCTCCAAGCAAATGTGAGAAACAGCTGGGCAGCTGGCAGTGTGATTGCCCTCTGTGGGACCTACAGGGACATTTATAAGGGTTCATTTCAGAAGGGAGCTCAGGCCATCAAAGCACCAGAGTTAGCCTCAGTGACTTTCAGTGAAGTCCATTAACCACTGGTTTTTTTTAGGGGATTTGACTTTCTTTTCCTGTTTTTCTGTTGTATATTCTTAAAATGCAAAATCAATATATTATGACATTGTAGAAAAATCTTAAAGAGGTGTACGAAATTCTATCACCTAGCGCAGAAGTTATTTTTATCTTCAAATAATTTGTTCTGGTTTGTCCACTTTACACAAACATTTTAGACATACAAAATGTATGTTTTAAAGTGTACTTTCCATTGCAAATTAGAATCCTCATTCAGAAAAATGCTCGTGCTGAAATTATTTCCAACACCTAGGCCCAGTCCTAGCTATTCACTAAAGCAAAGGCTCCTTTGCTGTGTGGGGGTCTGCTGGGGAAGGAAGGAGAGGGGGCGGGAGGGTTGCCACCCCTGCTGTCGGCCGGCTCTGGCGGCTGGACCGGAGCATCTCGGGGTGGGGAGGGGGCGTTGATGCTGACTTCCGTACTCTAACATTTCTGTCCTCAGGTCAATCCTAACTGGGTTGTTCCCTCCCACCTCGGGCACTGCCTACATCCTGGGGAAAGACATTCGCTCTGAGATGAGCACCATCCGGCAGAACCTGGGCGTCTGTCCCCAGCATAACGTGCTGTTCGACATGTGAGTACCAGCAGACCCTGTCTGGACATGTGTGTTGTGAGTCATGGGCAGAGTGGGACGTAAGCATTTTGCCTTCTTTGAGGGTGGCAGGCTTTGCCTCCCTTCACGTGTTAAGACCTGGTTGTCCTTCACTTTGGGAAAAGTGAGAGAATTGTTGGGTGGGGCATGCCACATCAGGCCAGCTGGGTGGGTGGGGCTTGGGAAACAATGCTCTCCGCTCCCGTCATCCTGGAGTAAGGACGTCCTGTCCCCCACCACACCCCACTGAGGCCACTACAGCTCTCACGCCCAGGCCTGGCGGTGCCTCAGGGCCTTGGTATGAGGGCCCCACGTTCCCTGCTCAGAACTTTTGCTTCTGTTCTGCTTGTCTGTCAGCGAGCAGAGAGACCTGAGCTCCATGACCTTGAGCAAGGGCATCCCCCTTCCAGGCCCTGGTTTCCTCTTACCTGCCATGAGCAGCTCGGGCTCCTGTCCCCCACAGGGGCTCCCACCTCAGGGCCGAGGTCCTTTGAAGTTCTGGAGGGCTGCTCCAGGTAAATGCTGAGCCAGCTCCTTGGTTGGGGGCCGTGGGGAGGGCCCTTGGAGGACCTGTGGCTGCCGGATGCTCGTGGGCCAGGCCTGTCGCATTGCAGCTTTGCCTCGTGAGCAGCTCCTGCGGCTGCTCACTGCTGTTCTACCTGGAATCCTTGGAGATGATTTTTTCAGAAGTTGATAAAGTTTAAAAAAAAAGAAAAGAAAAAGGTGTTGGGGGTGCTTGCTCTATTCTGGATCAGGAAGCACTGTGTTCTGGTGTGTCCTGTGGGCCCAGCGCTGACCTGCCCTCTGTCCCCAGGCTGACCGTGGAGGAGCACATCTGGTTCTACGCCCGCCTGAAAGGGCTCTCAGAGAAGCACGTGAAAGCAGAGATGGAGCAGATGGCCCTGGATGTGGGTTTGCCACCCAGCAAGCTGAAAAGCAAAACCAGTCAGCTGTCAGGTGAGGCCTTCCTCTTCCCTATCCCCTCCTCCTGCAGCCTAACGGACACGCATGGGTGCATGCAGTGCCCCAGGGCCCCCTGCTCAGGGGGTTGGAAGGTCGGTTAGAAAGGTGACCCTGGCTTGTCCCCAGGTGGGCACCTCCATTCATCTTTTGCCACTTCTGTGGCCACTCACTGGGGCGGGTCCTGGAACCTGTCTCCTCTCTCTCCTAGGTGGAATGCAGAGAAAGTTGTCTGTGGCCTTGGCCTTTGTTGGGGGATCCAAGGTTGTCATTCTGGATGAGCCCACAGCTGGCGTGGATCCTTACTCCCGCAGGGGAATATGGGAGCTGCTGCTGAAATATCGACAAGGTAACTGATGTTCATTGACTCTGCCTCCTGTGCTGGGAGGGGGAGGGAGAGAGGAACGGTGGGAGGAAGAGGCTTGGAGTCTGGTGGTATCTCCTGGCTGTTCTTGCAAGAGCAACAGCATTGCTTCTCAAGGAAAATGTGAAACTGGGGTCTGAGCTCAGCCCTGGTGGGCAAGTGGGAGGCCTGGTTTATAAGACACTGTAAGTTTACACTTCATTACCTAGGGGCCTGCAAGAAGAGAAACAAGGATACAGGGCATCCCCTGTGGGCCCAGTGCCACCTCCAGCATCGAACTGTCCCACGTGCAGTCTAATTATGTTCCGCTATAGACGGAGATTGCCGAGAGCGGGGGCTGTGTTGTCGTGCATCTCTGTCCTCACGTGGTACGCTAAATCTTTGTGTGGACAGAGTGGATGAATACAGGGCTGGATGGGAGAGGTGTAGGAGTGCCACGGGCTGCTTAGAGAGGCAGAAGTTACATGAGGTAGTACAGGATGCGGGGCCCGGGCTTTGGAGTCAGCTCAAGCTGGCCCTGAGGCCCAGGAAAAGTCATTTACCCTGTCTTGGTCTCTTTGTCTGTAATAAGAGCGCCTGTCTCACAGAGGATTAAAACTGAGACAGTGTGTAGACCACTGAGCACACTGCTGGGCCTGCCTGCACTGAGTGCCCAGATAACCATTTCTGCTCTTTGCTCTGCGAGGATGCAGCAGCTGTGCTCAGCATTGCTGGCCCGTGGGTCATGAGTACACCACTTTAGGATCTTTCTCCCATGCTGATTCCTGCTCGTATTTCTGTGCTTGCGGCCACTGTCGTCAGTGAGAACAACAGGCCTCAGCTGTCCCCGTCCTTGTGTTTGTGCCCGGCAGGCCGCACCATCATCCTCTCCACGCACCACATGGACGAGGCAGACATCCTGGGGGACAGGATCGCCATCATTTCCCATGGGAAGCTGTGCTGCGTGGGCTCCTCCCTGTTCCTGAAGAACCAGCTGGGGACAGGCTACTACCTGACCCTGGTCAAGAAGGATGTGGAGTCCTCCCTCAGTTCGTGCAGGAATAGCAGTAGCACGGTGTCGTGTCTGAAGAAGGTGAGTTGCAACCCCGGGAGTCCGGACACATGGGCTCTGAGTGGGTTGTCCACCTCTGCCATCTTGAGGCCACCCTCTCTCTACTCTGTGTCCTCTTTGAGTCACACTGTACCTCATACGTGGAAAGCTCAGGAGATGACTGTTCCCACGGTGACAGTAAGTGATGGAGGAGGGCCTTGGAGGACTTCACTTGGTTGGAGAGGGACTTGCTGGGAGTTAAGAGCCTTGGCTGCAGAAATGCCCTGCTGTGCCTGCTCATTACCTTTAAATCTCATTGACCTTAACTATAAAACAGCAAGTATTTATTGAGTACTGATTCATGCCAGACACTCACCCCAGTCTCTGGGCGTAAAAGAAAATCATGATAATAATTAATTCTTGGTAGCATTGCTACCGCTTGGAAACCTTTTTTTTTTTCTTACGTCTGTCAGCTCAAAGTACAGAGCAATCCTGGGAAGAAGGTATTGTAATTATTGTCCCAGATGTGGGATGTGGGGCTGGTAGGGATTTAGTTAATTCAGGGTCAGCTAGCAGATCCCAACAACCAGGTGTATTTTCCTCTGTACTGTGGTACATGCCTGAGATGTATTTGTGTGTTGAAGCACTGGCACCTGAAATGTTTACGTCCTAAACTTGACCCCTGCCCCCTAGCACCTGGTGACTCAGAGTCTGAAACCAGCAGCATCGGCATCACTTGGGAGCTCATTAAAAATGCAGAAACTTGGGCCCAACTCAGACTTCAACTCAATCAGAATCTGCATTTCATCAGGGCTCCCTGGTGATGAAACACAAATTAAAGCTTGAGAAGCACTGACCTAGACACCCAGGCAGGTGAACCTCACGCCTGAGACAGTCGGCGAGTGCCTGGTTACAGCACTCACAGGCAGGCCACGGTTCCTTAGAGACCTTAGCTTCCGTGCACATAGCACACGCGTGTCAGATTGGATGGTGCCCTCAGAAGCCAAGGCTGCCTGGTTGTGTGCTTCCCAAAAGAAGCTTTTTGCTCCAGTTCTCACAACAGCACCTCGTGAAACCTCCCTCCGCCCCAGCGAAGGTGGTGGTGGCTGTACCTTGCTCTGTCCCTGACCCATTCTCACCTCCTTCTTTGCCATCAGGAGGACAGTGTTTCTCAGAGCAGTTCTGATGCTGGCCTGGGCAGCGACCATGAAAGTGACACGCTTACCATCGGTAAGGACTCTGGGGTTTCTTATTCAGGTGGTGCCTGAGCTTCCCCCAGCTGGGCAGAGTGGAGGCAGAGGAGGAGAGGTGCAGAGGCTGGTGGCGCTGACTCAAGGTTTGCTGCTGGGTTGGGGCCGGGCGGCTGTGGGAGAGGGCGCAGCTTGGTGGTGGTTGGCCTGACGCTTGCTGGGGAGCCTGGGGCTTGGTCTGCGAGCTGGCAGGGCCGTGTCCCAGAGAGCTGAGATGATTAGGGGCAGGGATCCCTTAGGGGTGTGGGTCTGACTGGAACCTGGGGACCAGGGATGAGGAGCTGAGGGCTAACCCAATGGGGGAGGGGTTAGGGTTCAGTTTCTAGGGAGGGTGAGAGCCCAGGAGAGGAACAGCCTGCTGGGTCTTCCTCAGGACATGTGTATAGGGGGCCAGTGTCACCAGTAACACATGTGGGACAGAAGCCTTTACCCTGGCGTGTCTGCCCTGTCCTGTCAACTGGGTCTTCCCGGGAAGACTTCTCCTTCCATGAACTGTTTGATTAACCCTCTACTGAGGTAAATAGAAGGAACCTCCTTTAAAAGGCTAGGGAAGGGTGAAGAAGCTTTTTAAGGTTCCACTGAAGAATCCTAGAGTTTAGGCAATAGACTCCAGGCTTTCAACCTCAAAGTCGTCCAGCCAGCTAGCCACCCTCCCACCCCCCACCCCACCATGCAGTGAGAACCTACCTGGTGCCTGGCTTTGGTGAGACAGACTCAGTCAGGAGCTCCCAGGCTAGAGATGAGCACATGGAATGACTGAAGTATCTGAGACAGGTGTCGTGTACGACTGTGGGCTTCTGAGCAGGCAGAGGGAGAAAGTGGGGAGTGGCTGGCCCTTAACATGGGGCCTCTGAGCTGGCTGAACCATACCTGTGCCTTGGTCCCTCCAGATGTCTCTGCCATCTCCAACCTCATCAGGAAGCACGTGGCTGAGGCCCGGCTGGTGGAAGACATCGGGCACGAGCTGACCTACGTGCTGCCCTACGAAGCTGCCAAGGAGGGAGCCTTTGTGGAGCTCTTCCATGAGATTGACGACCGGCTCTCAGACCTGGGCATCTCCAGTTACGGCATCTCAGAGACGACCCTGGAAGAAGTACGTCCAGTGGCTGACTGTCGGAACACAGCAGGGCCAACAGTCCCAAGGCCACAGAGACAGCCTGCATATCCACTGGGAATAGGACTACATGGAACTGTGCACTGAGCCCTTGGGTTGTTGGTATCTGGGTAGTGTTGGTCCCAGTTAACCCTTTAAGGTTATAGTGGGAGATGGTAGGAAAGAACTGTGAGTATTGCTTCCTGGTGTGACTGTGTCAGGACCATGCATAGGAAGTGGCCGACATTTATGGGAAATCTACTTGTGCCATGTGCTAAGCTTGGTGTGTTTTTGTTTTTTAAATCATCGTAACTTCATTTAATCCTCATAACAGGGTGAGAAAGCAGACACTCAGGGATGATGTGCTAGGATTCAGAACCGGGTTTTGGGCTTCAAAGCCCATTCTCTGTTACTGTGTAGCAATGCCTCTCTTTAGAGAGACCTCGAGGGCTGGAGGGGATATGAAAGTTGTCTGGCCCAGTAGTCCCCAAGTCTGTGCAACAGAACCATCTGAGGGCATTACTGACAATAAAAATTCCAAGGCTCAGTTCCAGGGTCTTTGAAGTAGAATTCCTGGAGGTGAGGCCTTCATGTCTGTGCTTTTATTGCATGCTTCCTGTAGATCAGAGTTTGGAAATCGTTAGTCTAGTTCAGATTCTCTTCTGATGTTTGAATTCCTGCCATAACATTTTTGGTGATGGGGAGCCCCTCCTCTCCAGATCATTCTTCCTTGCATAACTTATCACAGTGCTAGCCTCTTCAAAGATTTGGGGCCGTAGACTTGGAAGAAGCCAGTTGGCTTTTTCCCTGTAGGTTTGGAGCAGATTTCTCCTTCTGCAGTGCCCTAATGCCATAGCTTTAATTTGAAAATGATTGTCTGGATTGACAGCTCTCAGCACTGGGGGAATGTTCTCTGGTACAAGCGGCTTCTCTCCCAAGTGACTCTGACAAAGTGTTATTAATAAACGAGGCTTCAACGTTTTGTCCTGAGAGGCTAGCGTACCATTCAGTCATGTAAGAATCATGGCAGTTGCTCGCTCACAATGTGGTGCTTAACAATATTCTCACTCCTACTTTTCAGATATTTCTCAAGGTGGCTGAAGAGAGTGGGGTGGACGCTGAGACCTCAGGTAACCCTCCCTGGTGGGCTGCTGTCTTAACTCCCCAGGGCGAGCCTTTCCCTTTGAGTTGTTTTATAGCATTCTTATTTTTGGTATATAGATTCATTACAGATGGGGAGGGGTAGGTTTTTTTCTTTTTAACAAATAAAATAAAACGTGGGATCCTTCCCTTTTGCCTTCAGATGGCACCTTACCAGCAAGACGAAACAGAAGGGTCTTCGGGGACAAGCAGAGCTGTCTTCGCCCATTCACTGAAGACGATGCTGTTGATCCAAATGATTCCGACATAGACCCAGGTCTGTTTGGGCAAGATCTGCATTCCGTTGCTTGAAAGTGAATTTCTCTCATCCATTCTTCTCTGGTGTTAGCGTTTGATGCCCTTGAACCAGGATAGTAGATGCCCACGGGGTCCAAAGTGAAGAGAGAGAGAGAAAAGCCACTTTCCCATGTGTACGGCCAAACTTGAAAGAACCTACTTTCACTCTGTCCGCTGTGCTATGATCTGTCTGTCAAGATCCACATCAGAAGATGGCCCCTCAGTCCTCTGAATCCATTTATTATCTTTCCTGTACAGTTGCAGTTTTCTTGCATTCATTAGGTGTTTAATTGTTGAATAAATGTTCTTTGAATGGATGAATGATTTTGAAAGAGAGATGTGAATTTGCTTTTAGCTATTTTGGATGAGCGTGTCCCTCTGTGTTCGGGATGGAGAAGGAGAGGACAGAAAGCAAGCAAATGTTGGTAAGGCGTCAAGCCTGTGCAGTTACAAATCACTTGTTTAAGATGAGGATTTCTGGACAATTTTTAGGAACAGAAACCTTTCTGGCTTTCGCAGTTCCTGTGTGTGTGAGTGCGTGGCTTTTGTGTTCTCCCTGACTTTATACGTTGTCTGTACTTAGATCACAGGAACGTGTCCACCTTTTACCAAAAATGTAATAGATAGGAGACAGATTGTGTTCTCAAGTATGTCAGCCTACGTACATGGCCTGTTTCATAGAATATTCTTTCATAGAATTATTAGAATACTCATAAGACATTGAGGATGACTTGATTCATCTGAATGGCTTGGTGTAACACCATGATGCGTGAACACATCTCTTCAGTTGTCTCAAGGCTCCTTCATTTTCTGCGTTCGTCAGATAAGAACCCAAAGGCAGAGACGGCTGCTTTTGTGCATTTGGAGTCAGCATTTTTCCTCAGATGTGGATTTATCACGAAGGCCCTTTACTCCTTTACTTATGCCTTCGAAGTCTCTAAGGTGGTTGCTGACGATGCTGGAGGGAGGAGCATGGGACATCAGAAATGCCTGCTACAGTCGATGACCTTCATTGTTGGCTTTCTGCAGAATCCAGAGAAACAGACCTGCTCAGTGGGATGGATGGCAAAGGCTCCTACCAGGTGAAGGGCTGGAAACTCACACAGCAACAGTTTGTGGCCCTTTTGTGGAAAAGGTTGCTGATTGCCAGACGGAGTCGGAAGGGATTCTTTGCTCAGGTGAGAAGTGCTGTTCAGGCCAAGGACTCTGGCTTCTTTGGTGGGCTGTAGGCTCCTTGCCCAGGAAAGGCGGGATAGCATCGTGGTTATGAGATAAGACACTGGAGCCAGAGTATCTGTATTTCAGTCCCAGTTCTTCTTGTTGTACTCATAGATCTGTTGACAAATTACTTCTCTGTGCCCCAATCTCCTTATCTGTAAAATGGGGATAATAATAGTACCTATGGCAGAACTGTTACAAAGATTAAAATGAGTAAGTGGTTACAATGGGTCCCGTATTAGGAATTACTGTGTTAGTTTTACCATAGAGCAGAGCAGAAACAAGGGAAAGTTTAGGAAAACTCACTAGGCACATTAAACTTTCATAACTTCAGAGATGATATGCCCAGATGCACTGGACTTCTGAACTTACCGGAAACTGGATTTTTCTCCAAGTTGATGTTTAACTGCAAACTGATAGAAAGATAACCAGGGGTCAGGAAAAAAAAAAGATAACCAGAGAAAACTCATTACACTCTTGCCTTGCATGTCAGTGTTTGCATGCTAACTTGCTTAGTTAGGAGGGATGAAATTATCCCAGTCTATAAAATCGAGACACATAAAGAAAGAGGTTACAGAGATTCTTCCCTGCAGACTGGATGGGTAATGCAAAGAATATGTGTTTGGAGCATACAGACTTAGATTTGAATTCTGGTTCTGACACTTACTAGCTGTGTGACCTTGAGCAAATTACTTAGCCTCTCTGAGCCTCAGTTACCTAGTTTCTTAATTGGTGATAATGATACTACTCCTGAGGGTTGTAACAATCATTAACTGAGATAATGCTCATATAATATTTCCCCATGGAATTGATCACTCAGTAATTAATTTTCTGCATTGAAACTCGAAAACATTAGAACCAGAGGCATTATTTGAGTTAGTTCTTTAAGGATAAATTTCTCAGGGATAAATGGAAGGAGCTTGGAGTTTACTTATAGTGTGTACAAGTCATTGTTTTCGGAGAAGGTACAAAAGTCAAGTTTAAGGTGGCTCAATAAAGTTTTAGATCATTATGCTTTGAGGCCATCTGGAGGAGAAACAGGCTGCTGTTCCCATCCAGTGGCGAGAGTGCTAGAGAGTGGTTTTATCAGAGTATGGGATCTGAATGGGTCATCTAGTCTGTCTGCAGACTACAAATGACAAAACTGAGGCCGTGGATACAGTTGTGGTAGAGACAGAGCCGAGCGGCAGGCCTTCCGGCCCCTGGTCCTGCCTGGTGCTCCCAGCTCTCCTCTGAGCTGCCCTGCGCTCATGGCCCAGTGTGGCCTTTCTCAGGTTTTCAGGGAGAAGAGGCACCCAGTGTTCTGAGGTACTCTGATGTGTGACCACTGTTTACTCTTTAAAGTTCTCAGCTTGCTGCCCCTGCCAGGTGGCCACAGCCTCTGGCCTTTTGTTGCGAGCTTCCAGAAATGCCCTGGAGGGAAGAGGCTGAGATTTCAGTCTCCATTTCTTCCCAGCCTGCCAAGAATGCCTTGGTGGAGCTGGGCCCTGTAGGCATCCGAGTGCTGGCTGGTCTGGGAGGCTGGCATGGCCCACGGCCTTCCTTCTGACCCTTGCCCTTCTCCTGCGATTTCTCTTTCCCCTTACCTCCTGGTAATAGATTGTCCTGCCAGCTGTGTTTGTCTGCATCGCCCTGGTGTTCAGCTTGATTGTGCCGCCCTTTGGCAAGTACCCCAGCCTGGAACTTCAGCCCTGGATGTACAACGAACAGTACACATTTGTCAGGTATGTGTTTGCCTTTCACGCCCAAGGAGAGAGGAGAGCTCAGACAGATCCGGTGTTGACTGTGCTGAGGGCCAGGCGGAGGGAGACTCAAGAATTACATAAGGGCATGAATTTTATCAGCTGTGGCTAAAGCCCTCACATAAACTCATATTAGATGCAGGAATCGCAGCAAACCAAACCTAAAATAATAGGCCAGTCCTCTTCTGCATTTGAACTCCTTTCCTCTTTACACGCTGTTGTCAGGAACAGTCAGTCATACGTGCTTTATGTAAATAATCTCCCCTTGCAAAAAAGTCTCTGATCAAGCTATAATGTATTTGGATTTTCATGGCTGTGTTTTTATTTGCTAGTTGAACACGGGGATTCCATACACTGTCAGAGCATTGCACCTCCAGGTTCTTGTTTTCTGCATGGTGCAGTTTGCATATTCATTATTCACTTTTTAAGTTGTAGAACTGTTTGTTCTCTAGACAAAAATACCAGCTACTCTGTAACAATCCAGCACTTCAAACAAAGGACAAAGGAATTACTCCACCTTGCTATGCTGGAATTTTCTTCAGTCCTGTAGTATTTGCAGACCGTTTGATGGGGGAAGTGTGCCAGTGATGTCAAAGGGGAGCTCTAATAAAAAAAAAAAAAGGAAGAAAGAAAAGCAATATAAACATGTGAATCAGTCTTCTTCTCTAACCCCACGTTTCCTTCCTATTTAGTGCAGGTTTCCTTTCTTCTTTCCTCTCCCAGCTGCTGACCTTCTGTTGCCCAGGGCTGTGGAACAGGGTCTTGTTTTGTGTTTGTAACCTGTGCCCATCATGGTTTGTGTTTTCCAGTTGTCCGTGTAAACATTCAGCCAATAAAATCTGTGTGTCCTTTCCTAGAAAATCCTGGTTGTCTATGCTTGATGGATAATTGTGAAAGTACTTTTGAAATAACCAATCTTAAATGAACTCATGTACTTCACATTAAAACATATATGTAGATGTGTATAGGTATGTGGGTGTGTGTGTATATCTGTGCACACACACACGTGCACCCACACCTCCATATGTGTAACTTACTTACACAAGCTCCTCTTTGACGTGCTGTCTGTTACCTTGATGCCAAATCGACGGCCAGAGGCTGAGTTCCTTGTGGTTGGGTTCTGGATTTTATTCATTTCTGTTCTAAGAGCTTGGCACACAGGAAGCACTTAATATTAAGTGTCTAATTAAAAAAAAACAACACTCTTCCTCCTTCTGATTCGTGGAATCGCTGAGCTGGCTGCCTCTCATGTTCCCACAGTAATGATGCACCTGAGGATGTGAACACCCAGGAACTCTTGAACGCTCTCACCAGAAAGCCTGGCTTCGGGACCCGATGTATGGAAGGAAACCCTATCCCGTGAGTGCCACTGAGCTGGGAGCCCCTCCGTGGCTGGCTCCTCGTGCTCATCCCCTGGTTCAATGTCTGCCCTGTGTTTGTCAGCTGTATGCCACATTGTGGCTGCCATCATGGGCCCTTTGAATCACTTTTTTTTTTAAAAAAACAAAAAGCAACACTGATCTAATCAGACCACCTAGGCACAGACGTAACAGATGAGGAGAGTCTTCTAATGTCCTGAGAGGCAAATCACTGTAGTTGTTTGTTTGCTGCTTCAGAAATTAATATTTAATTTAAGGAGCACTTTATACTGATCCTTTCCTCCAACTCCTATACCCAAGTGTGGAGACAGGCCCCCATTATGTGTAATTTGCAGTCTTACTTACCAGCTGTTTCACTCTAACAATCTGAGAAGATGACATTGTTTTTATAAAAAGGGATATTTTCTTCTTTTAGAGTTACATAATTTTTATCTATCACATTCTCCTTCACAATCCTTTTTAAAATAGTAAGCAATGTCTACATAAATTTAGCGAAATAGCCACATGCCTCTAAGTTTGTGTGGCGGGGAGCTATGCCCGAAGATCTCTATGAGTGAGGACAGCGGGAGGAGGTGAGGAGCTTCTGAGAGAGCCCAGCTGCAGTGGAGGGGGTTCAAGTCTCCAGGCTCAGGTAGAATTTGCATTTGAGGTTGTTAACCGCAGACTGAGTGTGGGAAGGTGTAGGAAAAACTGGAGAAGGCCTGACTGGAATCCCAGGTTTGAAAGGGAAGACAGTGCAGATGACAGACCAGTGAGCGTGTTACTGAGTGTGCAAGGTTTTAGAGCAGATTTCTAAACAGACAGCTGTTATGTGCTTGCTAGCTCTTCTTGCCTGGATACTTACTGAACATTCATGAGTACTTAATATTTAGTAAGTAGTAAATCCTGGCAGTCAATATCAGTTCCTAAAGGGCAAGATGACCCATGTGGAGAAGGACAGAGATGTCACAAGACTTTCGATGAGATGCTGCTTGAAAGTTTTGTAGGCGAGATAGAAGAATGAGAGGAGATGGTACAGAGGTGGGTGGATTCATCACCTGCCTGCGGAACAGCACGGACTCTAGATGGATGCCAGTCTTGCAGGGAGCTGGAGGGGCCAGGTCTGCAGCGAGGGCCAGCCTACAGAGACAGAAGAGGTGAGGCCTTGGCATCTGAGGCTCCCAGCCTGGAGGCGGAGCTCTCCTGAAGGGTTCCGGGGGCGTCTGATGCAAGGGCCCCACTCTGGAGACTTGTAGGTTTTTCAGAAAGTAGCAGAACTAAGGGAAGTTCGGGCATTTAACCTGGTCTTAGCCAGTCATCTGGTGAAGGTTTTAGAGTGTGAGCTTCAGGACAGCACCATCGTTGTGGGACTTTTCATTTAGTCCACAAGCGTTAAAGAGACAGCTAGAGAGCAAGCCATGAAACTGTCCACTCGATACAAGAATAATGTGAGGACCGTGGCTCCGCTTTACACTGTAGGATTGTGAAACTGCTAGAAATGCCTTGTTGAAATATGACTTCTTGAAACAAGTCTTTTTATCCTTTTGTTTTGCTAGTGGAGAAAATAGACCCTGAGAAGGCAGGTGACTTATCAATGGGCTCAAGTAACCCAGAGCCCACGTTGGACATGGGGCCTTGCCTTTAGTCACCGGGGATGCTGCAGGCAGCCTGGCTCTTATGTACTGACAGTTCTCACCCCCAGCCACCCCCTGATTCTCTCCTTGTTTTAAAACATAAGGGGAGTCCTGCCATTCTCTACCAGTTTCTGGCACGTTGAGGATAAAATGGAGACTCCTTGTCAAGCCTATGGCATCTGTCTGGCTCCTGCCTCCACCTCCTCCTTGTCTCCCGTCCCCCTTCCTTGTAACCCCCCGCCTCCCCAGCCACACTGCCCTCCTGCTGCCCCTTGGACATAGAACACATGGGACCTTGTCACCTGTGCTCTGTTGCTTCTGCTTGTGAAGTTCTTCCCCCCGTCCCTGCCTGGCTTGCTCTCTCTCATCGTTAGGTTTTGGTGGAAGTACATGACCTCTTCCAGTGGTCCTTTCTCACCAGTCACTCTCCCTTTATTTTGCTTCACTTGTGGCCATCTAAGATGATATTATTTAATTGCTTGCCATCTCACTCTTTCATGGGAACATGAACTGTGTGAAGGCAGAGGCTTTGTCTCTCCACTCCAGGCTCTCACACATGCAGGACAGAGTTTGGCACATTGTAGATGCCTGATGAGTGTTCACTGAGTGAACACAGGGGCGAGCAAGTGAAGGCTGGGGAGTGGATGGACTTGAGTTCCGTATATGAGCATTTAGGTGCCCTTTGTGTTCCATCGTCCTTAACTGTGAAATAAGTTCGCAGCTTATAAGACTACGGTGTGTGTTGAGGGGGTGGAGGTGGAATCAGATAACCAAATGTGTTGATCCGTCCTGTGCTCTGAGGCCTCAGGAGAGGCCAGCCCCTCTTGGGTGATCCTACCCTCCACGTCCTCCCTCTGCAGAGACATGCCCTGCTTGGTGGGGGAGGAGGAGTGGACCACCGCCCCAGTTCCCCGGACCATCACAGACCTCTTCCAAAATGGGAACTGGACCATGGAGAACCCCTCACCTGCCTGCCAGTGTAGCAGCGACAAAATCAAGAAGATGTTGCCCGTGTGTCCCCTGGGGGCCGGGGGGCTGCCTCCTCCACAGGTGAGTCACTCTCAGGGTGTGACTGAGCAGCCGGGGGTGCCAGGTGAGCGGGGGAGCTTCTGCTTGGGAAGAGGAGTGGATGACATATTTTGAAGTCAGCCCAGGCTCCTTACTTGTCCAAGATACAAGCAGAACACAACACTGTGGATCAGTGGGCTGTGGAAGACATGCTGTGGCCTCTCCTACAGTGGTGGTGTCCCAGGACAGACTGTCACAGGCCCAGAGTCATCCCTGGCTCTGCCACAGATGAGCTGGTGCCCTTGGACAGGTCACTCTGAGTTCCTGGGCTTGTTTCGTCACCTCTGAATTGGGGAGGCTGGCCCGTAAAACTTCTGTGAGTCTGATAGCTCTGACGTCCTCTGGGATGCTGAGTGAAGTAAACAATTCTGAGCCATTTTTTTCTGAGCAGAATTTCAGGGAAGAGGCTTGCTTGTAATGTTTCTCTGCTGCCTTCTCAGCATCTAGGTTGCAGGATAAGGGCCGGCAATTTTAAATGGTGTTGAAAACTTAAAAGTCCTGGTTACCTTCCCTGAAAATACCAGCTTATCTCTTCATCAGTGTATTTCATTCTTCATCTCATGAACAAAAGAATTCATAAGGCATAGTCAATGATGCTGTTCCCTAAAAACCTTTTGTGACCATAAAGAATCATCCTTTGCAGTCTGTGGTTAATCATTCAGAATAATTTCCTGGAATTCACCTTGGCTTGGCATAAGTGAATGGCCAATACTGCAGACAGAGGGGACCATGCCTTGGTGGCTGGCTGATGGCAGTGTCTGGGCCCTGTGGGCGGGGTCTGGTCACACGGTGGTGCATGTTGGAGGGACATGTGTCATTGTTGTCCTTGACTTGGTTTCTGTCGCATTTCTGGTCCATAAAGATACATGTGCTTGGTTTTTCTGTGATAACAGAGAAAACAGAACACTGCGGACACCCTTCAGAACCTGACAGGAAGAAACATTTCGGATTATCTGGTGAAGACGTATGTGCAGATCATAGCCAAAAGGTCATTATTTACTAAACTTGGCCCTTGCTCTATCGTTACTGATCAGAGGAATTAAAGGTCTAAACAAAGAGATTGAATAGTGGGGTGGGGGACATCACATTTTAGCCTGATACTGTCTTTTGGAAGCCGTAGGTTGTATAAAATGATAACAGTGTTGCTCTTATTAGTTTGTTGTGAGGATTAAATGAAACATTATGTGTAAAGTACCCCTCATGGATGGAATGAATGATAACATGTGGCAGATAGAGAGAGCCCTGGGCTGACTCAGTAGCCTTCCGTGGCTGTGGAGCCATGGAGGAGCCATATAGCTTCCTAGGGCATCATCACACGGTGTTGAGTCCCTTAGTGCCCCCTTACCTATGATTTAGCTTTCTGCATTTTCAGTTACCCAGAGCCAACCATGGTCCAAAAAATACTAAATGGAAAATTCTAGAAACAGACAGTTCCTAGGTTTTCAACCACATGTTGTTCTGAGCAGGGTGGTGAAATCTCTCACCATCCCACCAAGGATGGAATCGTCCCTTTGTCCAGTGTATCCAGGCCATAAATGCCACCAGCCCTAGCCGTCTCAGTTATCAGATCAGCTGTTGCAGTGTTCCAATACTTGTGTTCAAATCACCCTTATTTTACATAATAACGGCCCTACTGACCTTAAAGAAATTGACAAGAGATATAGGAAAAAACAAGGTATGTAGGGTCTTGGAATGCATCCCCCACGATTAAGGGGGAACTGCTGTACTTAGCTGGTGCTCAGGAAAATATTTGTTCTGGTCTCCTTCCTATCAGCTTGGTTAGTTGATCCCCTAAGTTAAGAGTTCTCAGTGACTTTTAATAACAAAGGTATGCTTGAATGACAGTTACTGTGAGTTTCTAAGAAAGAGGCAGAACCTCTCCATATGTCATCCGTAATTGAACTATTACTTTCAATTATAAAGTTTCTAGTTTTGGTCACATGTTTGTTGGTTTTTGAATTGTTTTTAATACAAAACATGGTTTTCATATAAATAAGGTTTTAAGATGGGGAGAAGAAAAGACATGTGCATTAGGGCTTCCTTCCATTGGCAAAACCCTACAACGCCAGCCGGATCATAGAGTTACTTCTGTCCCTTGGTTGTCTCCTCAAGTAGATATTTACTCCTTTTGTATTGTCAGGAATAGGACCAGTGTTTCTTTGGACTGATCTCTGGTTTCTTTGTCTTTGGCCTTCTGTAGCTTAAAGAACAAGATCTGGGTGAATGAGTTTCGGTAAGTTGACTTCTCTGCGTTCTTTCAGTTTTCCCTGACTTCTGAAGCTCAGGAGGATGATTTTGGTACAGGTTCCCTAGATCCCGAGAAGTTGCTGGTTTAGGGCTTGTTTTGCCGTTAGCGTATCTGCTCAGTGCCCAGCTGATAATTCAGTCCTTTGAAATATTTGGCACAGTGATCTCCTGGAGGAGGTTCAGAAGTTCCTTGCAGGTCTCTAGGGATTTAACAGGAAACACAGTGTTCTGAGGGGAGTACCTATGCTAGCTAAACTTAGTCAGTCAGATTCCTAAGAGGCCCTAGGAACTCGAGGACCGTTTTTCAGGCCTTTGGAGTAACCAAGAAGGTTTTGAATGAAATAAGAGGCATCAAAACCTTCTGTTTTCATTGTATTTCAACTCATTTATTCATCTTAGTTTTTTTTTTTTAACAGTATTTCTATTAGAAAATAAAAGTAGAATTCCATTAGGATAGCAGGAGTCATTCTCTTCTCTCCTGCAGTCAGGCTCTCTCCTCCCCCATGCCCACCCCCTGCCCATATCTCTCTGAGTTTTGAAGGAACAGATGGAACTGGGGAAGAAAAGAAGGAGGAGGAAGGATCTTTGAGGCCAGTCATTTCTCATGAGAAATGAGATACCTCACGTGGCTGCCTCAAAACCTGGCTCTGGCACTGCCCCCTACCTTTCTTCTTTACCTGTTCCCCAAGAGCCAGGACCTAGTAAGGAACTCAGAGCAGAGCAGATGCAGGACCCTATCATGGTCCTCCTGCTAAGAAAGAGCCTCAGCCTGTCTGTAGCCTGCCCTGGCCTCTCTGGTCAGTGTCCCTCACTGCTTATCCTGACTCTCCATCTGCTTGCCTCGAGATCCAAGTTCAAGGCCCGAGACACCAGGATGGGAGTCGCATCTGAGAGATGAATCAGCCTTCTTTTCTCAATATGTCAAATAGCTCGCTCTGCATATAATCAGACCCAGGTCTCTCCCATTTGGGCAGGAGCCATAAGAGTTAAGAGATCGCCAGAATCCATTAGAGGAGACCAAGGTGAAACTCAGAGTCTAACTTTGGTCCTGCTTTAAGTAGATAGTGCGTCTAAATGAAGCATTACATACTTACATGGTGTCTGTGGCTGAGTGATGTTGTGCCCCACACTGTCTGTGTTTTAATGTCAACCTGTTCTTTTAGGTACGGTGGGTTCTCCCTAGGTGCCAGTAATTCTCAGCCACTTCCTCCGAGTCAAGAAGTTAATGATGCCATCAAGCAAATGAAGAAACACTTGCAGGTGGCCAAGGTACAGTGTCCATCCCAAAACGTATCTGAAATGAGTTGCTAGTACATAAGAGTAGTTGGCAGGTAAATCTGATCACCTGGCAGCTTATTGTTGAAGACTTCTGAATACAAAACTATCACTGGCATTTAGCTCAGCCAAGACTGAGCTACTCAGTGTGTATTTAATATTGAAAAGTGCAGATCAAAACCAAATTGAAGATTTATATGTGGAGAAGTACAAAACACTGACTAAGGAAGTTAGAGATAACTTAAAGAAATGGAAAGATATGCCATGTTCTTGGATTAGAAGAATTAATATTGTTAAAATGGCCATACTAGCCAAAGCAATCTACAGATTTATTGTGATCCCTGTCAAATTACCCAGGTCATTTTTCACAGAACTAGACCAAATAATCCTAAAATTTATATGGAATCACAAAAGACCCAGAATTGCCAAAGCAATACTGCAGAAAAAGAATGAAGCTGGAGGAATAACCCTCCCAGACTTCAGACAATACTACAGAGCTACAGTAATTAAAACAGCATGGTATTGGTACAAAAACAGACATATGGGTCAATGGAACAGAATAGAGAGCCCAGAAATAAACCCACAAACTTTTGGTCAATTAATCTTTGACAATGGAGGCAAGAACATACAATGGAGTAAAGACAGTCTCTTCAGAAAATGGTGTTGGGGAAACTGGACAGCTGCAGGTAAATCAGTGAAGTTAGAACACTCCCTCACACCAGACACAAAAAGACTTAAACATAAGACAAGGCACTATAAACCTCTTAGAAGAAAACGTAGGCAAAACATTATCTGACATAAATCTCAGCAATGTTCTCCTAGGGCAGTCTACCCAGGCAATAGAAATAAAAGCAAAAATAAACAAATGGGACCAAATTACTCTTAAAAGCTTTTGCACAGCAAAGGAAACCGTAAGCAAAACAAAAAGACAACCTACGGAATGGGAGAAAATATTTACAAAAGATGAGACTGTCAAGGGCTTTAATTTCCAGAATATATAAACAGCTCATACAACTTAATAAGACAAAAACAAACAATGCAATCCAAAAATGGGCAGAAGACCTAAACAAGCAGTTCTCCAGAGGAGACATACAAATGGCCAGTAGGCACATCAGTATCACTAATTATCAGAGAAATGCAAATAAAAACTGCAATGAGATATCACCTCACATCAGTCAGAATGGCCATCATTCAAAAATCCTCAGATGATAAATGCTGGAGAGGGTGTTGAGAAAAGGGAACCATCTTACATTGTTGGTGAGAGTGTAGTTTGGTGCAGCCATTACAGAAAATGGTATGGAGATTCCTCAAAAGACTGCAAATAGACTTACCATATGATCCAGCAATCCCACTCCTGGGCATATATCCAGAGGGAACCTTAATTCAAAAAGATACATGTATCCCAGTGTTCAGAGCAGCACAATTTACAATAGCCAAGACATGGAAACAACCTAAATGTCCACCGACAGATGGCTGGATAAAGAAGTTGTGTTATATTTATACAATGAAATACTACTCAGCCATAAAAAATAATAAAATAATGCCATCTGCAGCAACATGGATGGACCTGAAGATTGTCATTCTGAGTGAAGTAAGCCAGAAAGAGAAAGAAAAACACCATAGCTATCACTCATGTGTGGAATCTTAAAAAAAAAAAAAAGACTAACTTATTTACAAAACAGAAACAGATGTAGAAAACAAACTTACGGTTATCAGTGGGGGATGGGTGTGGGAAGGGATAAATTGAAAGTTCGAGATTTGCAGATAGTAACTAATGTATATAAAATAGATGAACAAGTTCATACTGTATCGCATGAGGAACTATATTCAATATCTTGTAGTAACTTATGGTGAAAAAGAATATGAAAGCGAATATATGTATGTTCATGTATGACTGAAACATTATGTTATACACCAGAAATTGACACAACATTGTAAACTGACTATACTTCAATAAAAAAATGTAGAGAGAAGAAAAATTCAATAGAGAAAAAAACCCGAAATTTAAACATATAACATCTCTCAGAATAAACTGAGTTTATAAGTGTAGCCAGTGGGTAAATAAACTGGACATGGAACCTACTTTTCTAAAACAATCATTGGTTAAACAGGAAGTGAATCATTTTCTTAAGCTGGTAGTTAATAAGCACTCACTTCATTTATCTGTATCTCAAGGTTCCCATTTCTAAGTCTGAATTGAGGGAGTCAGATGATACGGATTCCAGGGTCACAGACAGCAGTGATCGTCCTAGAGCCTCTGTCTCTGCCCTTGAGTCTCAGACCCCATGAGTTTGACACCTCTGCCCATTGAGTGTAGTTTTGGGCCTTAGGATGAAGTCAGGGGAACACAGTGAAGAATCCTCACTTCCAGTAATAGACACCTGCAACCTAGGACTTCGAGTTACAGGATTAACCCTTGTTCCTTTAAGACTTGTGGCTCGTGGCAGCATCAGTGCTTCAGATGTCTGGTCACTCGTTTCCTAGGAGCCATTTATTCAGTGGCTCCCAGTGTCATTTCAGTGAAGGAGGCAGTGGTGGTATTGCCCTTCACAAGGCTGTCCTGTGGTCCAGACTGCAGGCTTCCTTTTGCCCTCCCCTTGTGATCCATCTGACCGAAGCAGGTTTCTTTTGTTCACAGGACAGTTCTGCAGATCGATTCCTCAGCAGCTTGGGAAGGTTCATGACAGGACTGGACACGAAAAATAACGTCAAGGTAAAGCCCTTTGTTCCAATATCTTCTTGGTGCACCATCATCCTGATGTTCCCCGGAGTACTTCCAGCTCATGAGAAGGTTGATTCATGACAGAAAAGACAGGTCTGGTAATTTTACTGGGGAGGCTGCACGGTATAATGATGAAGAGAATTTGCTTTTCCGCCAGTCACACCAGGCGAACCATTATGAACTTGACCAAGTTACTTAAGCTTTCTAAGCCTCGGTTTCCTAATCTATCAGCTAGAGACAGTAAGCATGGTCACCTCAAAGCTGTGGTGAGGCTTAAGTGAGTTAAGATGGTCAGCATGGTGCCTGGCCACACGGTCAGTGCCGGGCACACCCTGGCTGCTGTCCGCTGTCCTCTCTTGTTCTCTGACGTGCTTTGTCGTGGGGTGTGACTGGGATTTCTGTAGTTGACGTGCATGTTGTGTGTGTGCACCTCTCTCTGGGAGCAGGGTTTGGGAACAGTACTATGTACCGGGTATGTCTTATTTCAGGTGTGGTTCAATAACAAGGGCTGGCACGCCATCAGCTCGTTCCTGAATGTCATCAACAATGCCATTCTCCGGGCGAACCTGCAGAAGGGAGAGAATCCCAGCCAGTACGGGATCACGGCTTTTAATCACCCCCTGAATCTCACCAAGCAGCAGCTCTCGGAAGTGGCTCTGTAAGTGTGGCTGTGTCTGAGTGGATGTGGTGGGGAGAGGAGGGTATTTGGAGGGTCCTGGAGCAGAGGAAGGAAGGATGAAGCTGACTGTAGAGTAACAGCTGGGGACACAGTTTCATCATGGTGTGTCTGGGGTGGTCCAAGCTCTGGACAGGGATTGATCATTTTATGAATTGGCTGGGCAGGGATTAAACTGCAGAAGATAAATGACACATACATAAAAGTCATTATTTAGTGAATTCATATGAAGTTACATTGTTAATAAAATCCTAAAATATTTTAACTCCCCCTTAACACAGTGTTGAATAAAAAATCAATTGCATTTGTTTTAAAACCACTGTTTTTAAACTAGGTGAAATACGTTTATATCAGCTTGTTTGTTTAATTTCTGCAGATAGAGAGAGAGTTAAAGCCAGAATGATCTAGTTTAGAGTGTATAGTCTTTGAATCATAGAGGATCTGGGTTTGAATCTGGTTTCCAAACTTCCTAGATGTGTGATGTTAAATGAGGCAATTCATGTAAATTGCCAAGTCTGACACGTAGCTGATATTCAACACGTTAGGTTCTTTCTTGTCTGTGGAGTGTGGCACCGTTATTATTTCTGCTTCACTTGTATAGAATATCAATATTTGTCACTAGGATCTTTAAACCAAGCTTACATAAAACTTATAGAGAGAAATAGTTTATATTATACCGCATTTAATGGGCTCATAAGACTATTCTCATATAAGAACCTGATAGAATTTTTGTATGTGTTGGATTGATGTACCACATGCTTTTGTTGTGAAACTTGTTTATGGCCAGAAATTTGTGCCTGAACAGTTTCACACTAATATTTCTGCTTAATTTTGTTTTCAAGCTACACTAGTCCTTTATGTGTGAAAATTTACAACTTGCTGCTCATAGAAGGTCAAGAATGGTAGAACAAAGTAAATGCCATTGGGCTGCTCTTTGATGTCCTTTAATGGTTCCATTATGGCCATGGACTCTTTTTGACCTCAGTGGAGTCAGTTTTGCATTTGAATTATTAGGGTTTTTTTTCTTTACTTAAACATAATCATCTTTAACCCTGAATAAAATATACGTGGTGAAAAGATTTTTCCCTTGGCCTGTGCTTCAGATATCCGTGCGTGTGTATCCCCTCCTGACTGAGTCCTCAGCTGCACCATCTGTCTTTTTTCAGGATGACCACATCAGTGGATGTCCTCGTGTCCATCTGTGTCATCTTCGCGATGTCCTTCGTCCCAGCCAGCTTTGTCGTGTTCCTGATTCAGGAGCGAGTCAGCAAAGCAAAGCACCTGCAGTTCATCAGCGGAGTGAAGCCTGTCATCTACTGGCTCTCCAATTTTGTCTGGGACATGGTAAGAACTCCAGTCGGCTTCTGCTTTATAAGTCTCCATCAGGGCTCTGGACGGTGTGGAGGAGACAGCCCCTGGGTATCCCCAGGAAATGTTCTAGCTGGTCTAAAGATGAGCAAAAGAGGAAAAGGCAGAGGCCATCGTACACTGTCATGTCACCAAACATGGCATTAAGCAAAGATCTCATCTCACACCAGAGAAAGTCTGTCCACACTGACTTCAGTTAATACCCACGACCACCACCACCTCCTTCCCTAAGAGACAACTTTTCAAAGAAACAGAGGTGGAAGACTCTTTATCAAAGCTCGGAGCCAATGCCTCTAACATGTCTGATAGATTTTAACCTCCAGAGTCAGGGTGTTCTTTGTCTTACCAGGAACTCAGTCTGTCATTTATCTTTATCCATTTTACCAGAAGCATATCCATCCGTTGCAAACAGGTTTTCCTGCCACCTTATAGTGAGTATATTGCTTCTGTTTAGATCCATATGGAGGACTTCAAAGAATTCTAAAGTTTTAATTTTTGTAAAATGGAGTTGAAATGTGTCTCCCTTTAATTGTAGGCCAACAGCAAAAATTTAATTCTCTCCTTGTACAGTCCCTCAGAGGATTTTTTTTTTTGAAGACAGCTTTCATGTAACTGAAGTCTTCCCCAGATAAGATGGTATGAGAGCACACTTTGCAGTCCCTAAAGCACTACACAGATGTGAGTGATGGTGATGGTGATGGCGGTGTGGATGACAGCAAGGCTCTCAGACTTGTCACTGTCCCATCTGATCGCCTCTCTGATGGCCGTGCTCCGTATTGTTAATGTCCCTTCGGAAAAACAAAGCGTAGAATTAACCTTGTGTTCAGGCTGTGGTCTGAGTGGTTACGAGTCTAGAGGGAGTTGATCTTTATCCCATACTTCTATTACTCAGCCCCAAGGGTAATGCATTTTTGAAGTAACACTGTCTTAGCAAACTAAACCTCTATTTCACAGGAATGGATAAATGGGATCTCTTTCACTCTACACTAATGCAATTGACTTTTTTGAACCCACACTTTCTGTTTACCCCTGTTAAACTGAATTTTATGTCATGTCCACTTGTTTTTTTCTTGACCCAGTAATTGCTTTATTGAGTAAACTCATACACACTGAGTGCTCACTGTGTGCGAATCTCTGACTCTGCCAGTCATCAGAAATTCAGGGATGAAGGATCGAATCCCTAACTCAGGAACATCACTTACCTTCCTGTGTATTATCTACCCCTCCCCACTTTAGGGCCTCTGAAGTTTGCTGTAAGTGTGTCTTCATCTAAGTTGTTAAAAAACACAATTAGGTAGGATGGGACTGAGCTGCAGAATCCTGTGGTCTGAAGCTGCAAATTCTCCTAACAGCTGACAAGCCCACTCCCACCTCCCTGCCTGTGCTTTCTTCCTCCAGCTGTGAATTCTTGTAATTGTCCTGCGGTCAAGTATTTATTTCTGCATTTTAATGCTTGAGACACTGTCAGGACAGACTTTAAAATTAGTCTCAGTGTGATGAAATAGTTCTGACATTCGTGTTCTAAATGCTTACCTCATAAACAGATTACTAGTGAGATTGATCTTGGGCAGACTCTAATATAGCATTAATGATGAAACAGACACAATCATCTTGGGGAAGAGTAATGGCAGCTTACTTGCTGCCTGTGAAATTGAAATTACTCTGACCAGGAATCCATCCTTCAGTAAGTTTACTGAGCGTGACACCTTGGCTTCTCTGCTGGAAAGACAGAAAGGACATGCAGTTTATAAAATCATTGGAGGGTAAAATCCTTGTCAAAATGCATTGTCCGGTATTTTGATGAATAGTTTCTGTGGCTTCATTAGTTCAGAGTTATTCTTCAATATGTTTATCTGCTGCTTCTTGTCCAATGATGCTGAGGATTTGAGATGTGTTGTGTCTTTGACTTAGGGGTAAACTTGATTTCCTTGTTTCACTTTTAGTGCAACTATGTCGTCCCTGCCACGCTGGTCATTATCATCTTCATCTGCTTCCAGCAGAAGTCCTATGTGTCCTCCACCAACCTACCTGTGCTCGCCCTCCTACTTTTGCTGTATGGGTAAGGCACCTCTGCATGGGGCACATGGTGTATCTGGTGTCAGAGGGAAGGCAGGGGACACCTAGTGGACATTTGTCTTTGTGCCCCACCAGGTGGTCCATCACACCTCTCATGTATCCAGCCTCCTTCGTGTTCAAGATCCCTAGCACCGCCTACGTGGTCCTCACCAGCGTGAACCTCTTCATCGGCATCAATGGCAGTGTGGCCACCTTTGTGCTGGAGCTCTTCACCAACAACGTGAGTTCTGCGGAAACAGTGCCTCCTGCTGGGATGGGCATCTCTGGGAGCCAGAGGACAGTGTTCAGTCATGATCTTATTTCTCCCTGCCTATGGTGTTGATGCCACGGACCACTCTGTCCTTTTGCAGAGTCTGGGTTTGCATAGCACCTCTCACTCCTCCTCTTCCTGACGTGTCTCTGATCAAGCCTTTCAGTTTCCTTTGACAAGTTCTGTATTTCTTTCTGTTTAAGCGTTGCTTTTTCCCAGCTTTCTGTCCTCTGCCATCTTGTTTTCCACTTTAGATACTGTCTCTGGGTGATGCCATTCGTTCTGCGAGCTTTTACCCTCACCTCTGTCAGTGTCTTACATTGTTCTCTCTCAGCTCTGTGCCTCGAGCCCCGACTGTTCCCCTGAATTCTAGTCTCACGTTCTCACTTGCCTAGTGGGTGGCTCTGTTTAGATAACTGAAAGATGCCCCAGACTGGCCATGTCCCAGTCATCTTCCCCTCAGAACCCAGTATTTCTCTTGCCATTCCTGTCACACTGGATGGCATGACTGTCCACCCAGTCACTTTGCTGGCAATATTAGAGTCATTTTAAATGTTTTACTTTTGCTAGTTTCTCATTCAGTTGGTTACTTTGCCAGTTCCCCCAATCACAGATCTCTTTAACAGGGTTCCCTGTCCATTCCTGTTGTCATTGCCTTTGTCCAGACACCTTAGCTGAGCACACGAGGCCTTTCCGAGAGGTGTACACCCTTCCTGGGCAGTTCCACCACACCCTTACCCCAGGCACTTCAGCTGAGTTGTCTGTTAATCTCTCTGTACTCCTGGAGGCCTGGCTTAAAATGCCCTTCCTCTGTCATGGAGTCTGGTAGTACTGCCCTTCAGGATTGAGCTGGGATGGAAAGCTTTCCTTACCTGCCTTGTGGGAGATGTTCCCTAAGCACGTAGCAGCTTACTCAGTTGTTGGGTATTTGGCCATTGCTGGATTGATGTATTGAAGAAGACTTTTCAAAAGTCCAACAAAATCCTAAAACTGAAATATTGACCCAGACAGGAGCAATTTGCTTTTTAAAATGCTAAGCAAATATTTTATGATGGATTTGCTTCTGATTAAATATGATCATGTATTTCTAAACTTTGCTCACATTTCTCCAAACTCATAGCATTAGTCCGCATTTTCTGAAGAGCGGAACCTTATCACGTTATATATCGTCAGCTATGACTACTGCTATTTATTGGTATCTGATGCAGAGATTCAGTTGGGCCTCAGGGAATCAGATTTTTTTTCTTCATTCCCATATTTTAGACTTTGGTAAATTTCTAGCCTGAATCATGAAAGACCTACAGTCTCTCTCTGTCTTATTTTTTCAGAAGCTGAATAACATCAATGATATCCTGAAGTCTGTGTTCTTGATCTTCCCACATTTTTGCCTGGGACGGGGGCTCATTGACATGGTGAAAAACCAGGCAATGGCTGATGCCTTGGAAAGGTTTGGTGAGTGACAGCAGTGGCTGGAGGATGTTTTAATAGAGATGGCAGCTTGCATGGGCCTCGGCACTTTGGGTGGCTGGGCACAGGACTTCCCTCCACTGCTAGGGCTCATGACAACATAGCTGGTTGTGGCACGACCACAACCAAAGGTCAGAGGGTAATTTTGGAGGTAAGGAAAATAGTGACGTGGGCTTGGAACCAGTGCCTGATACCACTGGTGGGGTTTGTCAGAGTCACTGGAAAAGTCAAACCACAGCTTTGAGAATTAGATACAGGCCAGAGAATCAGAAGGAAAGGTGCAGACTTTGGCTCTATTAGATAAATCGTGGGCCTGCAGATGTGGTCATAGATTACCTTTTACACAGTCTATAAAAAGGCAATTTACTGCAGCTCTTTCTACCTTTAGAATCTTTAAAAATTATGTCTCCTGTGGCCATGTTACTATCCTTTTTGACGGGCTCATATGGTCAGATAGGCCATATTATTGAATGCGCACAGAAGAGGGACTTTTTTTTTAACTTGGAGGTACAAATCAGGTATATAAGGAATTTAGGGACTATTTATGTAAAACTAGGTGAATCGAGTCACTGGGTTACATTATATGCCTTTCAGGGCACCTTTTTAAAGTTCTTTCTAATCTTTCTTAGTGAAACTTGTAATTTGTTAAAATACTGACCCTAAAAATTACCCTGGATTGTTTGCTTTTTTAAGAACGACTTTTGATACTTTGGCTTTGCAATTGTGATTGGTGCTGGGTCGCGACATGTTTCCCCAAAATCTTACCCTAAATCAGACTTGTAGAGTGGTGGCTCCCTTATTTTTTTTCTTTCTTGTCATGGGCAATAACCATTGGTGTCTCTGGGGAACGTAGGTGAATTTGAGCCCGAGTCTGAGGAAGGGCTGTGGTCTTTGGTGCCTAATTTTGACTGGATCTCTGCGTTGTGTCCACCAGGGGAGAATCGCTTTGTCTCGCCACTATCTTGGGACTTGGTGGGACGAAACCTCTTCGCCATGGCCGTGGAAGGGGTGGTCTTCTTCCTCATCACTGTGCTGATCCAGTACAGGTTCTTCATCAGGCCCAGGTGAGCGTTCTCTCAGAACTCATGCAGCGCCTGGCTGAGGGTCTTGCAAGAGGAGCACAGAGGAGCACGGGAAAACCTTTGCCAGTGATGGTTGGGTTGACTTAAACTCAAAACAGATAATCAAACTGATTTTCCTAATGTGGGCATCCCCCAGCCCCCAACACTGCTGACAACTCTGGAGTATAGATTCTACAGGACTGCTTCAGAAATTGGGTCTTTGACTTGAAAAATAACTTGAAAGGTTGATTTTTTTTTTCCTCTTAATTCTTTCCCCCTAAGACCTGTAAAGGCAAAGCTTCCTCCTCTGAATGATGAGGATGAAGATGTGAGGCGGGAAAGACAGAGGATTCTTGATGGTGGCGGACAGAATGACATCTTGGAAATCAAGGAGTTGACTAAGGTGAGGCAATGAGGACAGGTGGTAACAACTTGTCTTCAGTTTTTTTCAGCCTTATATGTTTGAAACTAGCATTTTGCTGACTTGCTTAATAAAAAGAGCGTGCATCCTACAATGGGTATCTATACCTACCTTCTGTCAATTTAATTTTATCTGAAATACACCATGGGGACTTCTTAATTAAAGAAATCCTACTGAGAGTAATTATAAAGTGAATTCTTATTCTTGAGTATATTTGTTTTTCACATTTATGTTTATGTGTTGTTATTAAAACATACTAATATTGTATATCATGTCAAAGCTGAAGTAGGGAGAGTAAGTGATTTTCAGTTTCCTGGTCCAAAAAGCTGGTGCGTCTCCACTGCTTAAGAGGAGGGTCTGTTTCCTCCCTCTCTGGGAGCCAGAATCCCAGCAATTCACTGCTTTGTAATACAGTCAGTACTTTCAACGCTTTGATAAATTTTTACCTGTAGAATTTAATTTTTTTAATATCTACAATATTTTTATATATTAAATAAAAACTATGTAGATATCAATGGCCCATATGTTTTTAGAAAGCTGGTATTAGATTAAAAAATGAAAGGAAACTCACTTGTATTTTGAGCTTCAGAGTCAGTCAGAGGCCAGCTGCCGCAGAGACAGACCAAAGCTTTCAGCACTTCAAGTATGTGACTTAGTCTCATCATGAGTCTTATTCTGTGGTATGTTTAAGTCATGACTCCCTCTTCCACAGTTGCCTGGGATGGCTGTGTGTCACTGCAGCTCATGCAGTTTTGCATTTTGTTTGTTGCAGATTTATAGAAGGAAGAGGAAGCCTGCCGTTGACAGGATTTGCGTCGGCATTCCTCCTGGCGAGGTAAAGGCACTTTGTCTATACCGTATCTGCCCCTATTAATTCAGATGCTCTCTACCCCAATCAGACAACAGTATCTGTAAGGGGTCAAAAGTGGTTTTAAAAGGCTTCTTGATTTATACCTATGTGGAGCAACCAGTCATTGAAAGGATGGGAGCCCCATATGTCAAAAGTGAACAATTTTGGATAATGTTAGGCAATTTAAGAAAAGCATGCACATCCAGAAAGTGATCTTGTGATCCATTCAAGATGATGATGAAATTCGAAAGAGTTTAAAAAAATATTTTTCTCCTTTCTTGGTCATGTTTGTATTCTTGTATGCCTTTCAGCCAGATTAGATGGTGACATTTGACTTGTTGGCTTTCATTACTGTTTTTCACGCGTTAACTTTGGCCTGAATCTGATGACTGAAATAATACTTACAAATACATACACCACTTAAAATGGCCCCTTTATAAAATGTATGTTAAAAGGTATGATTTCTAAAACCAAGAAAACGTTTGACTCTTCATCAAGTGTAATGTTTTAGGATCATGTTATATAAAAACTAAGCTGGGGGGACTGTTTTATAGGGGTCACTTGTATTCAGATTTTTAGCAGTTTGCTTGTACAACTTACCCAATCTTTTTCAGTGCTTTGGACTTCTGGGTGTTAATGGGGCTGGGAAATCCTCAACTTTCAAGATGTTAACAGGAGATACCACGGTTACCAGAGGAGATGCTTTCCTTAACAAAAATAGGTGAGAAAAGAAGTCTGTAGTTTGCTACAATGACTTTTTTCAACTTTATTTAAATAAACATATCGTTCTTTTTCTGATTATAACAACACTGTATAGTTTCAAAAATGTTGAAACATAGTCAATTGTAAAGAAGTAAATAAAAATAATATACAGTTTCACTACCTAGAGATAACATTTACATTTCCTTTCAGTCTCACACTATTTTTTTTAACAGCTTTGTTCGGGTATAATTTATGTGCCATACAATTTACTTGTGTTAAGAGTACACAATTCAATGACTTTTAGGCAATTTACAGAGTTGTTCAACCATTATCACAATTCAGTCTTAGAACATTCCCATCACCCCCAAATCTCTTGACTTTATATACACATATAAATGTATTATGAAGTTGAGATGATACTGTATTTTTTTTAAAGTTTTTTGTTTTTGTTTTTGTTAATGACTGTATTATGACTGTTTCTCAATGGGTCACACATTCTAAGATGTGGAATTTTACGTTACTGCGTAAAATACATCTGTGCACACGTACCTATAGTTTATTTCATCAACTCCTTATTGTTGGACATTAATTAGTTTCTGTTTTTCACTACGTATGTCCTTGTATTTGTCTAGAAAATTCCTACAAGATAAAAGGTTATATATACTTGCCCAATTGCCCTCTCTAAAGCGTGTACCAACTACTGATGTCTCCTCCGGGCTACTGCCTGAGAGCGCTCAGGTCACTAAGCAGCATGATCTTAAGGGATCCAGGACACATTAGAGACCTGTTAGGCAGCATTACCTGGGAGCACTCTAAATACGTGGGACTTCTCTGGGCTTCTCACGTGGACAGATGGTACAAGGCAGTGGCTTCCTTTCGAACTTTTTGATCATGGCCCATAATATCGAATACATTTTTACCTCTCAACCTAGGATATGCACGTGAACACGCATATAGCTTAAATAAACGTTCTGTAAAACATTACCTATTCTTACTGCTTGTAGTGCACTCTGGTGTTTCTTATTCTACCTTATACCACGCCATTTTAAAAAAATACTGACCGTGACCCACTAAATTTATTTCACAACCCACTAATGGATGGCAACTTAAAATTTGAAAATGACAGGGGGCTCCTAGCCCATAAAACTGAAAAGAGCAAGGAACTTAATGTACTTATGAGTCTCCTCCTCTGACTCTTAGCAGTTTTTCGGTAGCAGTGGAGAGGGGGTTTAAGAGAACAGAATTTCTAGAACAGCAGATCTTAGGCTACACAGCTGCGTCCCTAGGCTTGTCCCTGGTACCAGAGTCCTGGAGCACATCGCAGTGGCAGCAGTAACTGCCCCAAACTAATGTTTGTCACAGTGCCTGGTTCTAAGAGCCAGTTTGGACAGAGTAGCTGTGAGGTCCAGCAAAGGGTCCGTGGGTGTCTTGATCATAATTCTAGAAAAGGCTGGACCTGAGAGTACTAACTGATATGCAGGGAGGAGTGAATACTGCTGACAGGTCAAACTCACGGCTGTCCAGAGGTGGCTGTAGTGCAGCCATCGGACTGGATATGACACCGAGCTTCCTCCTACATCAGGGATTCTTAACCTGAGATTGGCTTTAGAGGGCCTAAAAGCTGCCTCCACAGTGTATCTAAAATTGTGTCCGTAGGTATAATTTTTATTGTCCCCAGATTCTCAGAGTCTGTGATTAAAAAAAAAAAAAACCCTTAAAAACCAGGGTTGAGTATTTAGTGGCACCAAGGGGTCTGGATCGTGCTGTGGCTGAGTCATGTATGGGCAGCAAAATGCAGAGAGAGGTCGTACTGAGTTGCTGGGTGTCCTCTGGATCTGAATGGCCATGAAGGAGACCGGAACAACAGAGCACTTGGTGTATATGACCGGGCCCAGAGGCAAGTCAAGGATGGACACTTAGTGTTAAAGCCCCAGGACAGTGCAACTGAGGTTGTTTATAAAGATAGTACTGAAGCTAGGATGGATTGGGAATTCTGAAATGGGACTGAACCTGCAGATTGAGGTGTCGGCGGAGCCAGGTGCAAGGACTGGGCAGGATGCAGGCAGGAACGCTGAGTTCCAGGAGGGGCTGGCCTCCTGGGGGTGGAAAGGCTGTTGCTTCAAGCTATAGCAAGTGTTCTTGCTGGTATTTTTGTCATGCACACGCACACTGTGTAGGAACGTTAGTCAGGATTTTCTGATCAGAGTAGCTCTAAATGCTGACCACTTCTGTTTTTCCTTGCAGTATCTTATCAAACATCCATGAAGTACACCAGAATATGGGCTATTGCCCTCAGTTTGATGCCATCACGGAATTACTGACTGGAAGAGAACACGTGGAGTTCTTTGCCCTCTTGAGAGGAGTCCCAGAGAAGGAAGTTGGCAAGGTACCACGGGGCCCGGGAAGCCAGCCTGCCTGCCTCCTTGGGCGTCCTGACAGTGTGCCTTACGGCTGTGACTTTCACACGTGACTTCTGGCTGTCCTTGCTCAGGGATGCAGCAGTGCAAAGTGCTGGTTTTTAGTGCCTCCTTTCAGGGTGGGAACCTGTGGTGGCAGTGGGGCAGGGACAGGTGAACAGGCTCCTGCTGGAGGGCAGAGAGGGAGTGCTGCTCCCACCCCACGAGCCCCTTCCCCCTGCTTTTGACTCTATAATCACAACTTGCTGGGTTGTGATTATAGACTCTGGTCCTACTCAGTAAAAGGGTTGTCATATGCACGTGTAAGAAAGCACAATAAGACTACCAAACCCAACGGGAGTGAAGGTGCTTTTTATCACTTGTAGGTTGGTGAGTGGGCAATTCGGAAGCTGGGCCTCGTGAAGTACGGAGAGAAATACGCCGGAAACTACAGTGGGGGCAATAAGCGCAAGCTCTCGACGGCCATGGCTCTGATCGGTGGGCCTCCTGTGGTGTTTCTGGTGAGTGTGGCTGTCACTGGAAAACTCTGTTCTGGCCTGAATGGAAAACATCTCTGAAGTCCGGTGTCCAGGGTGTGCGTGGCTGATGTGGCAGTGGCACACCTCCTCCCCTGGCCAGGAACAGCTGAGCAGCCTCAGAGACCCAGAGGGAAGCTCCCTCGTCCCTCTCCTTGACACTTGTGGGGGTGGCTCTGCTGGGCCCTCAGATGCTCCAAAAGAGGAGATACTCTTTGGACCTTATTTCTCTTGTGTGGCTGGGGCTCAATATGTGACTTGGCCTTTCTCTGAACCATTCTGTCTGCCATCTGTGTGTGCATCCCCTGAAAAGGGAGACTGTGGATACAGCTTCAGGATTCCCAAGGTAGCACCTGGGTCATGGTTTCTTACAGAGAGATGGAAAACAGAAGGTTAGTTCAGACAGTGACCCCTTATTCTTCTGCAGAAAAGAAGAACATTGAAGTTATTGTAGAAAGAAGCCTTAGGCTGAGGCTTTAATGTTCTCTACACTATTTGGATCTGAAATTTTTTTCTCTCAGACTACCAAGTACAATATGACAGGCTAAGCTGGACTGAGCTAGAATTTAAAAAAAAGAAGAAGAAAAGGAATTTTATCCAGACCTTAAATTGACTTCAGTAGAGATTTCAGACAAAGGATAGTTTTTTAGTATATACTTGTCAGTCATGAAAAGATAATTGAAACTAAATGACTTTTCCCCTTCCCTTTCTGTATATTTGGAGAAATTTAATTTCATAAAAAACTAAATCTGAGTTTTCAACTCAATGACATACTGATCAAAGTGAACTGGTTGCACACAAGTATGAAACACTCTCGTATGTCAGGTCTGGTTCTTCGGTTCATCAAGAAATAAATAGAACGGTAAGCTAAAACTTAGGCTATTGCAAAGATGCGTCTGCATTTGAAACCAAATCCATCTTTGACTTGTTTTCCAGCGCGTAATAGGACTCACTTTATTCTAATTACAGGATGAACCGACCACAGGCATGGATCCCAAAGCCCGGCGATTCCTGTGGAACTGTGCCCTAAGTATCATCAAGGAAGGGAGATCAGTGGTGCTTACATCGCATAGGTCTGTACTGAAGACTTAGCTTGGCTTCTTTGTTGTGTAATTTTTTAAGTTTTCCAAGTAGTATAGTTGATCGTTGTGTGAAAATAGAAAATAAAGAAAGGCAGAGAGAAACAATGTAACCACCTGACACTGCGTCACCAGGAGACAACTATTACTGTCATTGGGCAACAGATCATTGCACAGTGTCCTGTGCAAATCTGCATGTGGTGTATGTGGGGTTTTTTTTTCTTTTTTACAAAAAAAAATGCAAGCTTTAGTATATACCGTAAGTTCTTTTTCACTTAACAATATTGTGAACATTATTCCAAGTCAGTTAATTTAGATGTGTCGTCAGTTCTTATAGCTATTGGTGAATAGTATTCCATTAGGATATACCCCAATTTATTGAACTATTCCTCTTTTGTGTAGATGTTTGGGTTGTTTCCAACGTGTTTCACAATTGTAAACAGCACGGCATGAACAGCATTATCCCTCCATCTTCACGTATTTGTACAGGACGCACTTATGCCCTAGGAAGCTGGGAATCTGTTTCTTGGAAATGCCAGATGTCATGGTGATGCTCTGACGGTTTTAAGAGCATCTCTCTAAAACTCAGACCTCATTCTGTTTGCCCACAGCATGGAAGAATGTGAAGCTCTTTGCACTAGGATGGCAATTATGGTCAATGGGAGGTTCAGGTGTCTTGGCAGCGTCCAACATCTGAAAAACAGGTAACAAAGATAATTTCTTTGGGATCCCACATATTGAGAAATCGTGTATTTATTCTTTTGTGAGTGTCTACATGGTGGCTGTAAAGTAAAGGGAAATAAACTGTACAAAATGGTGTAGTGGTAAGAATGAGGACTTTGAAGTCAGAGCTGCACACAAATTCCATCTTGACCTTTTACTGGTTGTATGCCGTTGGGCAAGTTACTTAACCTCTGAGAGTCGGTGCTGTAGGACTGTCTACCGCTAGCCTTGACAGAGATGAAATGGAAAGATTTATGCATGCCAGTAAAGTTAGCGCATAGGCTTTGGAGTCAGACACATTGGGTCCACATCCTGGCCTAGCACATCTGAGCTTCGTGCCACGAGCAAGTGACTCTCTGGGCTCCAGGTTCTCTGTAACATCTGACCGACCTCAAGGGTTCAGGTGAAGATTAAACCAAGTCATGTTTGACATCTCACGTCGTAGGGATTCAACACATGATAACTGGTTCCTTCTCTCTGAAACTGATTTCTGGGTCTGTCTGGGATCTTTCGTCTTCATGACCCAAGCTGGGTTCTCAGAGTTAAATAGCCTTTTGAGACGTTTCCTGAGGATCTTCCATGTGGACTTGCTTCTTCCTGCTTTCAGGTTTGGAGACGGTTATACAATAGTTGTACGAATAGCAGGGTCCAACCCGGACCTGAAGCCTGTCCAGGAGTTCTTTGGACTCGCCTTTCCAGGAAGCGTCCTGAAGGAGAAGCACCGGAACATGCTGCAGTACCAGCTTCCGTCATCACTGTCCTCCCTGGCCAAGATCTTTAGCGCCCTTTCCCAGAGCAAAAAGCGACTCCACATAGAAGACTACTCTGTCTCTCAGACAACACTTGACCAAGTAAGCTTTGAGAGTCAAAAACAGATTTGCTTTCCAGGGTGAGGATTCCTGCCCCTTCTCCTTACCTCCCTGCCAACACCGCCCCCAACCCCATTGTGGGCCTCAGAACAGTGCAGAGCACCTGAGCTTGACCTCCTGATCGTCAGCTACCTGTGCTTTTTACCTAATCCCCCTGAATCTGAAAAGGGAGATGATACTATCTACTTCATAGGGTTATTATGAGCATAAATTGTCACAAAAATCATAAAAACTGCCATTTATTGAGTAGCTGCCACGGGCCAGGCATTTTGCCAGGTGCCTTATCCCATTTAAATTAGGTAACATTAGGTACCAAATAGATTCTGGCCATCAGTAGATGTCAGCTTTCATCCCTCTCCCTTTCCTGTATGAGTCAGAGTAAATAGATGATTGAGCAGCTGGTGACTGGGGGAGGTGCACTATAGAAGGTCAGTTGTTAATGGTTAGTGCTTTTTCAAGCATTCCCCTCCCCTCACACACAAAGGTTTCTAGTAATCTAGTTAAATACAGTCTTGTATTCTCCTACCTGATCTAACTCCACCCAGGGAAAAATGCAGCTAGAATAAAGAGAGAGTTAGAGGTTTTTATAAAGGTCCATCTTTCTTTTGACAGGTATTTGTAAACTTTGCCAAGGACCAAAGTGATGATGACCACTTAAAGGACCTGTCATTACACAAAAACCAGACAGTAGTGGATGTGGCAGTTCTCACATCTTTTCTGCAGGATGAGAAAGTGAAAGAAAGTTACGTGTGAAGAATCCTGTTCCTCCAGGGTGGCTGAAAGAAAGGAGGAACCACACCTTCCTTTGCACCGAGTGACGTGTTCCAGAGGAACGAGCTGGAAGCCTTTGTGGGAAGAAGTAAACTGGATACTGTACTGATACTATTCAATGCAATGCAATTCAATGCAATGAAAACAAAATTCCATTACAAGGGCAGTGCCTTTGTAGCCTATGTCTTGTATGGCTCGCGAGTGAAAAAGACTTGAATTTAGTTTATTACCTTATACTCATGTGAAACTCTAGTATGGAGCCCGGCGGACATATGGGTCTGACATACTTTTTCTGTTCCTTTGTATTCTTACTGGGGTTGCAACAATAACTCATCAAATAATCATGGCCAGTGATTATCAGAGTCAAAAGGCACGCACATCCTCATTCGTTAAGCCCTGCCGTACCAGGAGACCGGCTTCCCGGTGACACAGCCCCTGCTGGCAATCAGTGCATCAGAATTACTAGTGCCAAGTTGCTCAGAAAGCCTGAAGCACCATGGTGTGTCATGCACACTTTTGTGAAAGCTGCTCTTCTCAAAATCTGTTGACATCATGAAGTATCAGGTGACAAGATGGTGCCATGTGTGGGGAAAATCCTGCTTTGATTCCCTTCATGATGAGCTGCTCTGGTGGTGGTAACATTCAAGTTGTGGTGGTGGCGCTAGACTAGTGAGACTTGGTTCCATTGTTAGGTTGTCCCTCGCTTAGAACCACAGGTCTCCAGGGTTACCTTTCTGGGACTCTTGAAATATACTTAGATCTTGGTAAGAAGCAAAGAATCAGCAACCACATTTCTGGGGCTGGAAACAGTGGAGGCCAGGGCATTGGTGCCTTCAAACCGAGGGAGGCCAATGTCCAGCTGTCCTGATTGTCTACTAACACGGTACACTGCATCTCAAGGTCTTGTTGTTTGACACAAGCATAGTATTATTTCTGGCTTTTTGAATTAACCTCAAACATGAAAAGGTGGAGCTATATTTTGACAAAAATCTTTGTACTTTTATGTTATTTGGAATTGTAAGTTCTGTCAGTGATTTATGAAACCTTAGAATGGCCTTTTTGTAGAACCCTGTGGTATAGAGGATGATGGTCACACTGCCTCTCTAGCTTTATTTTTTCATGTAGGTTTGCAAATGGATGGTCTGACTAGTGCCTGGTGACCAGAAAACAGTGTGGTGGCCAAGGTCTCATAACATTGTATTTAAGTTTATGATCACTGAGAAGTCTTCTAGTCTCAGTTTATTAAGTACTTTTTGAGTGTATGTTATAACTGAAGGAGTATACATGAATAGGGTGAGGGGAAACTAAGTCTCAGCAGGTTTCTTGTGCCATATTCTGTGGATAACTGGTTTACAAATATAGGTTGTTCTATTGTGGTTGTAGGAACCCACTGAAAGAACACTGGGCAGCCCACTTCTTGAAAACAGCAACAATGCAGAAGCCAGCAGGTTTGAATGTCATGAGGGTCACAAGACTGACCACAATGCAAAACTAGACAAAAGGTTCGCTAAACAATGAATACTTTCACAGAGAACACAGCTAGCTTCACAACTTGTTGAGTAACATAAAACTTGTGATCGTGGCGTTTAGTACCTTAAAATAATTGCCTTTGAAGATCTCAGATACCCCATTCTGACAATCTCAAATTTTTCATCTCCTCAGTCACTAACCTATCATGAAGAAAAAAAAAAAAAAAAAACCAAACCAGCAAATGCCCCACATGAAGATGACTTCAGACTTTTCTAACCCAATTTTATTTTTTTTTAGTGAGTAAACGTTTTTTCAAAATATTATTGCACCAATGCTTAATGTTACCTGTATTGAGACAACAAAAATATAAGAAAACTACTATTTGGTGAAGTTAGTGATCTTTCAATATCATTACTAATTTATGCTCCTTAAAAAAAACATAAATATTAACTCTAAAGGTGTAAGATTTCACATCTTTTCCAAATCTGCATTAAAAAAATTTACTGAATGTTATCACGTAATTTGTTGCTTAGAAGATGAAAATGATTTTTAGAAATTAATGCCAAAATTTTCTAACATGATAAATAAGTAATGAAGGCATTTTTCCAATAATGATTGGCATGAGGTCATTCTATTTTATGTTATCTTTAATGATAAAAATTCATAGAGTAATTGTTTCTCCTTATTTGATACTTTCCAAAATCAAGCTTCGATTTTCCCATTTTACTAGAGTGATGTTCTCATTCTGTAACCATGAGCAGCTCCTCTTTGATTACTCTCCTTCAAGGCCATATTTTAAACAATCAAAAGACACTGTGAACTACTTTGAAAAAAATTACGTTTCAATATAGATTTAACGAATCTCTTAAGCTAGAAACAATCTACAGTTAGACATCTACTTCATTAATATTGTTACCTTTTAGACTATCCAGGTAGTAGTCTTGAATTTTTCTGTGTAAGCCTAATTATAGTAGACATTTTTACCAACCCCCTGCTCAGTCAAGTAAAATTTCTATATAATCCCTGTGGAAATGTAACCGTGTGAATTTTGAAAATTCTCAGAAGTCTTCAAAGATTTCTGCTTTTGCTTCTTTTGGACACCTTAAACCTTGTTAACAACTGTGAATATGAGAAATACAAAAGAAAACATTTTTTTTTAAAAAAAGCCCTCTATACCCAAATGCCCAGCACAGGTCATTGTTAAAAAAAAAAACAAAAAACACAACCGAACCTCAAACTACTGTATTTCAACATATGTACTGAAATCATACGCATTTTGACTATTACATGTTGCATATCAATCACTATCTAGTAATTATTGACTAAAGGGATTTGTCTGTTTTCTTTTTGTGGTTGTATATATCAGGTGAAAATTTTTTCCAAAGAGCCATGAGTCATATTATATTGAACCACTTTGATACTGAGATTGATTTCTACCCGTTACTATTTACTAGTAATAATATAGTACAATAGTCACGTTGCTCTAGTTCTCTTCAAAATTGTTGCATCCCTTTTTATAGAATGTTTATACTTCCATAAGGTGTAAGTATTCTGTCTGCCCTTCTTCTACCCTAGGATGAAGCTATGTTTTTGTGCTTTTTCTTTATCATCGGCCCTTCATTCCAAGCACTTTATGCTGTCTGTAATGGGATCTATTTTTGCACTGGAATATCTGAGAATTGCAAAACTAGACAAAAGTTTCACAATAGATTTCTAAGTTAAATCATTTTCATTAAAAGAAAAAAAAAATTTTGTATTGTCAATAACTTTATATGAAGTATTAAAAAAGGCGTATTTCTATGTTGTAATAAGTCACGAAATAAAGCTGTGACAGTTCTGTTGGTCTATGGAAATTTATTTTTGTGCATTCCTAGCACCACCTACTGTTAAAGCTTATGAAGTAATTACAAAAGGAAGAAACATCTGCTTGTAAAAGAGAAGCTATTCAGATCCAAAGTAGAAATTTAGGAAAAACTAAGTGTCAGTCACAAAAGAGAATTGAGGAGACTGCTTGAAAATAAAGGGTCTTTGGCACTTTCATGGTTCAGTCATGGTAGCAGGTGGTACTAAGTTTAAGATGTTTATTTTTATTGACATACAATCGATTTCAAATGTATTAATTTCTGGTGTACAGCATAGTGATTCAGTTATACATATATATTCATTTTCATATTTTTTCATTATAGGTTATTATAAGATGTTGAATATATAGTGCTATACAGCAGGACTCTGTTGTTTGTCTATTTTATATATAGTAGTATCCACAAATCTTGAACTTCCAATTTGTCCCTCCCCTCCTTCCCTCACAACCGTAAGTTTGTCTTCTATGTCTGTCAGTCTGCTTCTTTTTAAGAGGTTTTAGATAAACTTATTCTGCTTAGAGATATGAAACCAAGAGATCTCTGAACGTACTCTGTAGCTAAGCCATTTTTAAAAACTTCGTGACTTCAGTTGGCATTGAGGAAGTTACAAAGGCAGCCTTCAATGTTCTTTTATTTATTCAACCAAAATACAAGGACACAGTGTAGCAGGGGTACTGTCCAGGTGGCGGGAGGGGTAGCCAGGGTGAGCATGCAGGAAAAGCAGAACGTGGGAGGAGAAACGAGACTAACATCGTGGAGGTGCATTCTCCTCTGTAAAAAGTGCTGTGTGGTTGGTCTTGGCCCAAGACTACGTGGCACGGTGATGAAGTGTGGATGTATTTTTCACATCAGATTTCTGGTGAAGCTGAGTCTCAGTTAATCTGTCCTTGTAAAATCAGTTGAGCATCATTGTACAGTAATGTAACAGATACTTATCAAACTGCATTGTGCACCAAATATTCTTCTAGGTTCAGGGGATACAGTGTTGAAGATAGAATTCCTGCTCCGATGAACTTGAATTTCAAAGGAGAAATTATATTCATATTCACAATGGATGTGTGGGCAAACAGATACAGTGAATTCAGACACTTCAGTAAGTGCTAAGAAGAAAATACAACACAGTAACAGGCTAGCGATGAAAAGGAGTCAGCACTTGGAGGAGTGACGTTTAAGCTCTGATGTGAATAAAATAAACAGGAGCTAACAATCTGAAGGTGGACAGAAGAACATTCCTGGAAGAGAGAATACCCAGTGCAAAAGCCCCAGGTAGGAAAAAACTTGGCAAGTTGGGAAGCAGGGAGGAGAATTCCAGTGTCTCTGGAGTTGGAGGGAATGGAATTAGAGGCAGGAGTCAGACCTTGTGGGGCCTCATAGGCCAGGTTAGGGTATCTCGATTTTATTGTTACTGCAATGAGGAGTTTAAACAAGGTGGTGGTTTGAGCTAATCTCTGTTTCAGAAAGAACTTCGCTGGCTATCTGGGGCAAAGGACCGTAGGAAGGCTAAGTAGGAGATGATGGTGGACTGGCCAAGGGTGGTAGCAACAGACAAAGGACTAGTAACATCCAGGGTCTCGTTTAGAGATAGAGCCAATAGGACCGCTGCCAGGCTGCATGTAGGGGATGAGGAAAAGAGAGAAAGCAAGGTGACTTCTAGTTTGCGACCCAAACGAGGGACAGGGTTGTTTTAGAAAAGCAGTTGGTAGTTCAGTCTGGAGCTCAGAAGCAATGATGGAAAAGAAGATAAAAATGTGTGACTCATCACATATATGGCTTTTAAGCCTTGGGACTGAATGAGCTTACCTAGAAAGAGGGAAGATAGAGAATATTCTTGAGGCCTGAGGCCCTTTCCACATCTAGAAGAGAAGCCAGCAAAGGGAACAGAGGGACCGGCCAGAGATGGGGAGGAAAGTCTAAACATATGACATCCTGTACTGAAGCTCAGAATCACGTGTTACCAAGAAGGCAGAAGCGGTCAACTGTGTTCAACGCTGTTGAGAAGATGGGCAGGTAAAGGCATCAAAAGACCACTGACTTTGGCAAGAGAGAGATCCCCGGTGACCTTCAGCAGACTGGCCAAGACGTAGGCCTAGCCGGACTGGGCTCAGGAAAGAATCAGAGGTAAGGAAGGGGAGATGGTGCGTACACACAACACTACAGAGGGTTTTGCTTTGAAAGGAAACAGAAAACATGACAGAACTTTTATTTGGATTCTTTTCTTGCCTGTTAATAGTATAGGGTGCACCTGAGTACCACCTCCCCTTTTCCTTCTAATTTTTTTGTGTTTTAATCTTTTAGGCATTTCTTCTTTCAGGAGCCCAACACACTGTACTTGTTTTCCAGATTTCCCTTAGCTAATTCATCATTTAGTATTTTACATTTATAGTATATTTGAGAAATGTAAAATAATATAGCTGTAGATACAGACCGTCGAAGGAGCTTAGCAGTGCCAAACCTAGTTTTAGAAGGCAGAGGCACTCAACTGAAATGGGCATTAAAGATGTTGCAAGGAAAACCCTGTAATATCTGTGGCGGTACCAGAGAAACTCTCCGTCTGGGATTACTATCCTGCTATTTTCTTGATGTAACTTAACATTTACAAAAGAGTTGCTGTATTATTACTGTGTCACCATCCTATAGTAACACAGTAAAAGCTCCAGAGAAGATAATATAAATATAAAATGCAAATTAAAAAAAAAACCCAGAATGGATATGTAGGCTTTTATTAAGGCAAGTATTTCCATAAACAAATAGATGTCCCAAAGGTCTTCATTAAATAGTGATCTAAAATGAACAAAAATTAATAAATTAACTACAAATGAACACATTTCATCACAAAAACAAGTCTTCTGAAGTTTTTTTTTAAACACAGACCTAATTAATTATTTTCCAAGTGAGAGTGACTAATAATGTGAAAACCATAATTCCAAAATAGATGACAGAGGTGATATCGTACTTTCCCAAGGTAAAGAAATATATTTGATCCAATATTCTCATGAATCCCATCTGATATCACAAAATAAACTTTACTGGGCAAAATTTTTTTAAAATCTCAGATAAAACAGACATGATCAAAAGACAGACACTGTATATAATTTAACAATATTGTTAGGCACAGAAATGTTAAATAATCATACGAATATAAGAAAATGCTATAAAGCAGAGGTCTGTCAGAATAGAGAAGAGCTATTGTGAAAGAAATGAAAAATCAAGATTATGAAGTAGTAGCAACTATATATTTCTAATGTATAATAGATACTGAAATGTTATGAGGAAAATGAACAGAACTGTCTTTAGGTGGTCATGAAAAAGGACAGAGGTGGCTTTAAAAATGTAGAGACATATAGAAAATTAACTTACTACTTTCTTCAAATAATAGCAAGAATCTCAGGAGAATTTAGGCACCATTAGCAGACACATCTTTTTGCAGTTAATGAAATGCTTCGTATTTCAGCAGAAAACTATTTCAACGGTGAATATGGCATAGGAATCAGAAGCATATTTTGCTGAGATACTAGGTAATTGACACTTTCCCGAACTGGAAAAAAGATTCATAAGAAGGCAGAAGAAGTTACTGACTAAATCAAATTTGTCCTGAGAATAATTTGTGCCGAGTGAGATAGCTCACCAGCTGCCACAACTCTGGGATCCTCGTGAGACCGATGTCTCCCAGCTGCACGACTGTCGGCACTCTCGTTCCACCAAAGAACGTGAACTGCAGAAATAAGCAGAAATAGACTCTAAAATACGACATTACTACAAATAAGACACACAGAAAATTAATCAGAAACTTTAGGTCTTACTCTTTAAATCAAACTAGTATCAAAAGAGTAAAACTAAAAATGTTAAGTGGTAAGATTTCAGAAGGGTCAGAGTTTTGGGAGAGAATTTTATGAATTAGTCAGACTGGCTTAATAGATCAAGAAACAGCTAAGGCTTTTACTTTATTTTTCCAAGGCAAGATTATTAAAAAAACTGTGGTCATTACTGAAAACTGGCTGATACAAAAAGAAAATAAGAAGTATCGGAACCTGAACCACCCAGAATAAACCTCTGTTAATATTTAATGCATTTCTTGTAAAAGGTGACAATAATAAAATTAGGGCCTTACTGCATATTATACTTAGTAATAGATTTTAAAAAGTCAATGATGAGCATTTTCTATGGCAATGACAGTAATTTTTAAGGGCTATGTGAATTCCTCCTTATGGAGGTAACAACTTTTTATTCCACCCCCTTATTGTTGATTATATTATTCAAAATATAATTCTACAAAATACTGAAATGTTCTTGTACTTAAATTATTTAAAAATAAATAATTACAATTTACTATGTGTTAGCTGTATAGATTCTGGAAATGTAGATAAACCAAAAGGGAAAGCAGGAGTAGTTTCTAATCCTAAACCCTGAATTAACCAATTTCTATTTTGGTGTTATCTTTTCCATATTTATGTATTTACATGTTTATACACATTTAGCATATATGTTTATGCTTATATAAGATACATGATGTATATGTGTGTCTATTTGTGTATGTTATATACATAGGGTCACAGCACATTGTTTCTAGTTTCCTTACTGCAAACAGTGCTGACAAACACTTCCTTGGAGGGGCACCTACAAAAAATAACAATGTTAAACAACTACTTCCTTCATTTATTGGGTGCTTACTATGTGCCAGGCCTGGTTCCAAGCATTTTGCATGCATTAGCTCATTTAGTCTTCACAATAATCCTAGGTGGTAGGTTATCATTATTTTATCAATGAGCGAAGCACAGAAAGGTTAAGTAGCTCATAAAGTTAATAAGTCACAAAGTTAATAAGTGGTTAAGCTGGGATTCAAACCCAGGCTGTCTGGATCTCATTATTTCCTCAATATAATAAACTCCTAAAATTCAAATTCAGAGAACCAAATAGTTTATAAACATATACATATATAGACATACATACACATACACACACACACACACACACTTATATAGGCAT